CATAGAAACTTGGTGTGATATAAAAAATCTTATGCATTCAAGCAAAATTTACCCTTCCAGATAAAACTGTTTAAATTCTATGACCATAGCAACCGCCTTAGCAAAAACTATTTTTGATGTATCTCAGGATTGAAACCTGATCTAGACATCTAGTTGTCACCTTAAGGCTATAAATCTAGTTTTCACCTTTTTGTTTTTTTAAACATTTTTTCTTTATTCAGTTTATAAGCTATACACTAAAGACCCTAAAATTATAAATTCAGAGCTTCTAAATAAAGGTTGTGTAATTGATTCTTATTTTCTATTATTCTTATTATGGACATTGTGCTCAAAAAGTGTATACATTGGGAATGATGTTTTTAAAACTGCAGTTGCATCTGCTGTTAGGGCTCGTCCATAAATTATGTCACGCTATAGGGGGTTGGTGGTTTTGTGACGACTCATACAAAACTTGATTCTTAAGTATTACAATTTTGTGACAAAGGGGGGGGGTCAAAATTGGTCAAAAATTGCGTGACGTAATTTATGGACGACCCCTTAATGCACACAATGATGGTACCCAAGGATTGCTCCCAGTTTTTGAAAGACTAGGCAGAGAAAATGGGTATTTTACCATAAAAGGTTCAAGAAAATCTGATATTCAGCGTGTCAAGCAATCTTCAAAAAAGTCAACCAGCACAGTAAAACAAAGAAGAAAACTTCTTGTAATCAAAAAAGGTTTTAATGATAAAAATGAACTTTAGGAAGGAGAGACATATGCTAGTGGAGCATTTTAATTTGCTTTTTGAGTTTTTAATGTTTTTAATTTATTTGATTTTTTGATTAGGTTTTCCTCGACTTTAATATTTTACGATGTTTGTGGTCTCTCAACAAGAATAACTTTTTATTGGATAAAGCTAATAAGCTATAATTTTTTATGGTGTTACCTAGTTCTATTTAAAGTGTTCTGAGCAAAGCACTTTTTAAAATTTTATAAAAACAAGGCTAGCAATATGACTTTTAAATAAAAATATTTGTCTTTTTTATGAAATTTAAAGTTTGACAGTAAATTTGACGCGTTTGAAAAATTTTTTTTTTTTTCTCAGAACATAGTATTACTAATAAAGATTGTAATTTTAAAATTTCAAGAGATTCTGATCATTTTTCACTAAGTTATACTTGTTGGAAAAAACAGGTCAAAACAGGTCAAAAATCTGTTTACGACCTGTTCAGTTAATGACATCATCATTAAATTTTTATGCAATTAGTGTTATTTGTTTTTTTTTTAATAGTATATACCATTAAAATAAAACATATTTAATTTTTTTAATTTTTTGAAAAAAAAAGTTTCCACCTTAAATAACTTTTCAGTTTTTCAACTTTTTCTCCTTTATATGATTCCATTGAAATTTTTTTTTGCCCTACTATATTTTTTCAGAATCATCTCCAAAATGTTATTAATCTCACCCCTTCCTCGCGGATGACTGTGATTGCCTAATAATTTTATAATAGCTTTTTATTTAAGCTTTTCACAAGTGTCATTTGAGGTTTTACTATATTAGAACACAATACAAATTTATAACATCAAATATATCCATAGAGTAGACAAAAAAAATTTGAAAGTTTTGTGTGAAGTTGCTGAAATATCACACTTTCTAATTTTAGACATCTTTGAGAGATATATCAAGAAAAAAAAAGCTTGAAAACTGGTGATTGGTGAAAACTAGGAATTAAGTAGTATTACAGGCTTTCTCAGGAGACGCGTGCGGTCGCATGCCTTGAATGACCACGCATATATATTTTTTTGTTGATAACATGGCCATAATTTTTTTTGCATTTATTAAAAATGACGCATTTTAAAAACGCGCTGAAAAAATCAAACTAATTAGTCATCTTATTGGTTTTTTTTTATTATTAATGATTTATTATTATAATTATTTATTGAGAAAAAAAAACCATATATATTTGTAATTAATGATAAAATAAAAAGATAAAGATAATATATATATATATATATATTTTTTATTCGTTTTCTTGCATTGAATAAAATTCTGGCGATTTTTCGTCAAGTTTTTGTTTACTAAATGAATTACGTCATTAAGTAATTATTATTTCTTCCTGTTGGCTTGACAAGTTTTTAACTGAAACTTTTCATATGAGAATTAAAAAAAAAAACTTTTTTTTTTTATATGTATTAAAATTATTTATTTTATTGTGTTTTTTTTGTTTGTTTATGTACTATTATTTTGGTTGACATATAGATGTTTAGAAAAGATTTAAATATTTAAAAATTTAACTTAGCAGCATTTTAAAAATTCAATCTTATAAAAATAAAGCAATACGCATAAACGTAAGAACTTCAACGAACCAATGACTCAATTAAGTAATAATAAAGATGTAAAACTAAAATATTTTTCTTTAGTTGCTCTTGGTCTTGCGAAAAAACTATTTCCGGTTTGATTACTTTCATGAATGTTATGAAAAATCACTCAGGAAGAGTGCCACCAGTTTTTAAAAAATTTCTTTGTTAATTATTTTTAATGAATGAGTTCAATACTTATGCAATTCTTTTGTCACGTAACTCTAACTCTTATTAATAGATAAAAAAATCATGATAACCGCTTGATAATGTAGATGATGTAATTTAAGTAAAAAATACAGTATCAAAAAAACAAGTTTATTTAAAAAAAGTTTTTATAAAAGTTTTAAATTGGTATAGAATTCTCTGCATTTTGTAAAAGTTTCTTATACAAACTACTTTACTGATTCGCAGAAATGAGACTTATAAGTTGAATTTGTTTTTTTACCTTGTTTTCTGTGTAACATAAGTGCAAGTGGCATTTTTAGTAATAAGTTTGCTCTCTTTTGGCCTAACTCAAAACTTTTAAAATTATTTTATTCATTAGACTAACAGCTTTCATACAAAATTGCTAAAAATTTAAATAAGCAAATATTTGATAAAGTTGTTGCGCGTGTAACGTAAGTTAAAAATGGAATTGCCCATATATGTTATTTTAATGTTTTTATTTTCTCATTAATAACTATAATAATAATAATTATTAATAATTAATAATAATAAATTATTAATAATAATAAAAAAAAGATGAGCAATTAATTTGATTTTTTCAGCGCGTTTTTAAAATGCGTCATTTTTAATAAATGCAAAAAAAAATTGTGTTAGGGAATTTAAAACGTGTTCCAAGCATGCTTTAATAATATTAGATAAAAATCTGAAATTATTTTCAATGACAATCTTTGTTCCTGTAAGAGTTGCTGTTTAAGGTATAAAAATTTCAGGTAGTCAGAACTCTAATGTTTTAAAGTTGATTTTGAACTCTCAAATGTACTTCCAGAAGGGCCATGTGTCCACTCTATGTAACAATTTGCAGTGTTAGAAAGAACCATGGAAGAAAGAAACTGATAAGCTGCATTCCTGTAGTACATAATATTAACAGTTCCTTTAGAATGCTTAAAGCCACGTTTACAAATTACTGCTTTAGAGCCTGGGTTATTGCTCATTTGTCTCATCATTGTTGAATATATTAGTATTAGGAATGTTTTGCAGTGTAACAGATAACTCATCAAAATATGAACAAACTGAATCTCTATCAATATCAGCTCTTACTGGTTTTACTTTGTCAGCAAATCTAACAGTTAGATTGTTGCAAACAATAAAGGATTTCATCCAATAAGGGCCATTAAAGTTGTTTTTAAATTTTGAATCAGTGACACTTATCCTGTTCACATAGTCTTTCCCTAGCAGGTGTATACCCATACTATCCAAAGGTATTTTCTAATTTATCAAGATACTAAGAATTTGTAGTATCTTTTTTTATTTGTATTGGGCTTCAATCTGGTCTGTCTTTTTAACCTCGTCTGTTCTGGATATCTCAAAGATCATTCTGTTCATTGAGATATCCAACAAGGCATTTTGCATTGCTTCTGCTAGATATGATACATATGATCAACTACCTGATTAAATTGGGTATTTTTACAATTTTTTTTTACTTTTTGTAGACAATTTTCAGTAATTGAGGATTCAATCCTTTTGTAATTTTTTAACATTTCAAACGATTATTTTTAGTCAAAAGACTTTTTTATGTCTTAATAAAGACATAAAATATTCGCAAATATACAAGAACAATAGCAAGAACAATAGAAGAGCAAATATACAAGAATTATAGCAAGGAATATGAGAATTTATAAATGTAAATCTAATTTACATTTATAAATTCTCAAATTCCTAAATTATCTAAAAATTGTTACATTGTAACATTTTGGGCATTTCGCGCATGTTCATGTAAAAATTGTTATTTTGTTGTTTAACATTTGCAAAAGTTAGAATCACTTTACAACCAAAAATATACTCAGAATATAATTATATACCAGAAAAAAAAATTGAAGTTGATTGTTAATTTACAATTACATTTTCAGGTGAATACTTTTAAAACTAACAATCAAAATTCACCTCTTTTTACCATATGTATGAACGTTTATTTAAAAATAATATTTCTGTTATCCTTTTTCTACTTTTTATGAAAAAGTATCTAAGTATAAGGACATTTTTTTCAGTTTTGCAGAATATTGTATTTTGCAAAATATTGTATAATTAGTGTAAGTACTATAAGTGTGCAATGTTTTGTATTGAGTCTAAATCTGCAGTAGCAAAAACCTATTGGTGACACAATATTGAAATATCTACTGCATTATCTACATATGAAAAATATTACAAAAAAAAAAAATTTAATTTTTATTTATGTTTATCTTGATGTAGATAATAGATTGTAGATCCTTGCCTCTCAATTCCAGATTCAGTTTTCTATATTTTTTATTGTTTCAAAATAGAAAACAGGTAGCAGTGATGTATACTATTTTATATTGATATATATTATTTTATGTTGATATATATTATTTTATTTTGATATATATTATTATTTTGATATATTTTGTTTTAAGTTTTGTAAACAAGTGTTTTCTCAAGTAACAGAGATGCATAAAAAAGCATCATTGTTTATTTTTAGATATAGCTGTTAAGGAGCAAGTAGCAGAAAATAAATCTAAGAAAATAATGAAGGGTTTGCGTTTTTTTGAAGAAAACCTTGGTCTACGTATAATTAGATATCCAGGTAAAAAAAAAAATTAATGCTATCTTTTTTTTAATTAATGTAGGTAACATAACAACAATTTGGTTAAATATAGTTGCTAAAAATTTATATATTTAAGATTAAAAATGATAAAAGTTGGTTCTCTATTATGAGCATTTTCTCTTCAACCAAAGTCATCTAGTTTAGTAATCATAGTAACATTTTTCTGTTGCAGTCACTTAGTTGTATAATAAAAAAGATCCAGCAAATAAAAATTGAACAACATTTACTTTTAACATTATTTTTTGCGTATTATTAGTTATTTAACTATTTGGTGATGCTCTGTTGTCTAATTTCTAGTTTTACTAGTATGCGAAATGGTTTTGCATACTAGTAAAACTTAAATAGTTTTGACTTTAGCATTCTATTTCAATGGTTTTTAAGCTAGTCTTTATTTTTATTAACAATTGAACAGTATGTTACAATGTAGCTACTTGTTCACTTCTTTTAATGTAACTACTTGTTCATTTCTTATAATGTAAAATGTTGCATGTAAAAAGTATTAGAGGTGTACCGGATATCTGGTTAAAAATACCGGATAATTTACTATCCGGTATCTGGCCGGATATATACTATATCCGGCCGGATATATCGGATAATACTTTATGCTGTTAAGTTCTGGTGTTATTATGAAGGCCGTTTGAACAAGTCTTCAACTAAAAATTTGATTCCGAACAGCGAACGTTAAATGTTTTAATGATCGCTATTGTAATTACGTATCACTTAATGATCACAATCTTACGATCACTTATGATCAATTAATGGTCACAAGCCTATCTTCAATTTAAACTTCCCAGAGCACAAAGAGGTTTGAAAAACTATTAAGAATTATTTAATAAATACATTTTTTTAGGGGAGGGTGATTTATCTTTTAAGTAGAAATTTAATTTTGAGAACTCTAAATCAAAATGGTTTACCGACACGCTGCTAAATGGGCTCTAACATGATGTTTTTAAAAGTCTTAGATATGACATTATCAAGCTTTGTGCAAACTCTAAAGTTAAGTTTTTTATGCTTCCATAAAATGAAAGTGTTTTGCATCAAAAAATCATGGTAATTAGAGCTTGGGAACAAAAATAACCTTAGAGGTTATTTTCTCAACCACCTATCCCAAATGCAAGGGAAATCATTTAGTTATTTCATTACACTATCTAATACTCTAGCTAAATTCATCAATAGGTTTTAAATTTCATCAATTAATTTATGTTCCAAAGTTATGACCATGTTTAATTTATTACCCCTTCAATTTGGAGAGGGGTAAAAACACAGTCATAACTTTCCAACAATTTTTTTAAGATTTAAAATGATCGAAATTGAGAATTTAAAGAATTTGTTTTGCAAAAAAATTTCCTATCAAAATAATCAAAAAAAAATTTTTTTTTAATGTTTAAATTTTTTTTTTGCTTTTATTATATTTTTTTGAAATTTCATCATAAACTTTTTTTTTTTTTTCTTTTTTGATATTTTGTTATAGATTTTTTCACTCAATAAATTGTCTTGGTTTAAAATAAAAATTTTGAAAAAAATTTTGGAGTAAAATTCATGAAAAAGATGGCCCAACCATGTACATATTTGCTGCCTGGACCTTGCCCTTACTTTGCATATTTGCCCTCTTGACCCTACCCCTTATACACACTTGTACACTTTTAGATAATATTTAAACATTTTTAGATAATGTCGCCTCCCATACCTGCATACATACTTTATGAATGCCTCTTAAATCAAATTATTAAATTCAATGAAACAAAATGTTTTAGAAAGTTAATAATACTATCAAAGAACATAACAAATAAAATTTCAACAATTGAGTAAATGCAAAGGGTCATTCTATTTTCGTCCCATTATGGTGAATAAACACAAGCATTTCTCCTGTTTTAGGCAATAACCTAGATCTCTTTTTCTCATTGATATTACCATATTCTGAGAACAATCTTTCAGAAAATATGGATGATGCAGGAGTGCATAGATGTTTTGAAGCAATTGTTTTTAAAAGAGGGAATCGTTCTTCTTGCATCCAGGTCTTTATTGGACAGAATTTTCTGTCTACAAGAGGTTCAGAATAAAACTTTTTTATTTCTTTTCTAATCGAAATCTCATTTGATTTTTTAAAAGGTAATGTTTTTTCAGATGTTGCATTTATAATTTCTTTGAAACATGCTTCAAGAGTGTCTTCTTTTTCAGTATTAATTGAAAAATTTAATTGTGATGGTTCTTCATTTACACTAAAATCTACTTCTTCAGAACAAACAAGAGTTTTTTCAAGGATAAAATTTCATTTATTAACCAGTACTTAGCCTGTTTTTTGATATCATCCTTAAAGAAAGAAAACTTATATCTTGGATCAATTGAAGTAGCTATGACATAGTACCTATTTTTCAAAATGTTTAAAGACTTCGCATCATTTATTTCAGAAAAAAATCGATTTTTTAAAGAAGTTGTAAGCCGATTCTTTGTTTCTTGAATACTTAAATCAACTTGACATTTTGACATAAATTTCTTCAATGAGCACATATTTGGAATTACAGAAGACCAAGTTGTTATTTCTGAACTCATTTCCTGAGTTAATTGGAAAAAAGGCTTTAACAGTTTAATAATGTTTAATATTAATATCCATTCTAATGTAGAAAAGGGTATTAAATCAGAACGTTCTGCTAAGTATAGTTGAACTGGAATTTTTAACTTGTTTAATCTATCAAGCATAAGATAAGTGCTGTTCCATCTTGTTGGCACATCTTGAACAAGACAAAGAGGGTCGAGATTTTGTTGCAGCTGAACTTGTTTAAAGTTGTTACATGCAAGAGATGAATGGTTAAAATGAATTACAAGTCGACGACATTTTGAAAGAACATCAATTACAATATTTTCACTTATTGAATCTGAAACAACTAATTGAAGTAAATGAATAGTACAATGGATTGCGGGAATTTCAGCTAGATTACTCCCACTTATCATGTTGCTTGCACCATCTCTTACAAGAATATGTCGTCTTTCAGCTTGAATTTTCCAGCTATCCCACATACTTTCTAACTTTTTGGATATGTTTATTCCAGTATGGCTTTCAGGAAAATGAGAAGCATGTAATAACACATCAAATCTGTTAAAATCTTTATCGATGGAGTGGCTAGACAATGAAATAAATGATTCATGAGAAATTGGGCATGCCCATATATCTGAAGAAAAGCTTATGTAATCTGTTTTTATTAATTTATCAGAAATTTTATTATTTAACTCCATGTAAAGTTGAGGTATTATTGTTTTAGAAAAAAATTTTCTACTTGGCATGCAATATCTGGGTTCTAAATGGTTCATTGAGTTATTAAAACCTGTATCTTCAACTAAAGTAAATGACAGGTTGTCTAAGGCCATCATCAACCCAATTTTACGATGAATAGTTTGCGACCTAGAGTCATTAATGCTCCATACCTTTTGTGACTTTAAATATTCATCTATTGAAGTTTGTTTAGAAGTTTCCAAAACAGTCTCTTTTTTTACTGCAGTACTAGTTGAAAAAAAATCTGGTGTGATTTTATTGACAGCCTGAGCTTTTCTTTTCTGTTCATTTTTATTTCGTTCTATATGCTATTCTTTTGGATGATTTATTTTGATGTGGTTATGCAGAGGTGTTGTACTAAAACATTTTTGCCCAGCCTCCATAGTTCCACGTTTAATCATTTTTTTACAGATATTACAGTTTGCATACACATCACTTGCATCATTTATTTTATACAATGACCAGATAAAGCTCTGCATTATTATGTGTCTGAAATATAAAACTAAACGTGTTCACAATTGACATTAAATATTTAACTATTTTAGTATAATAGTTAAATATTTAATAAATATCTTGGTATCAAATGTATGTGTATAATAATTATACACATACATTTGATACCAAGATATTTATCTGTATTATACAGATGGTAATTTTGATATCTATACAGTGTATAAATACTACATTGAAATTAATATTGCATTGTTAACTTTCAATGTAAACATTGTTAGATTCCAAATGCATTGTTACATTGTAAAGAAAACAATAAAAAAACATAACAAAAAAATTAAAGTAATAATACATAGTTTGGAAATTTAGATAGCAACCTAATTTTAAAGTTATTGCTACGTAATTAATTGTTAATAAATTTTCAAACTACAATAAAAACAGATAATCCAATTATGCAGACAGACATGCAAAATGTAATACGATTATTTTTTTTTGTGTGTGTGGATTTACACACTATTTTGCACTTTCCCAATTTGACTAAAAACAAACATCAAAACTAAATCCTATCCTAATTTTCAATATATCCGGCATATCCGGTAGGATATGAAATTTTAAATCCGGCATATCCGTATCCGGCCGGATACGTAAAATGCTATATCCGGTACACCTCTAGAAAGTATGTTACAATGTAACTACTTGTTGACTTCTTTTAATGTAAAATGATGGATGTGGAAAGTATGTTATAATGTAACTATTTGTTCATTTCTTTTTATGTAAAATGTTGAATGTGGAAAGAATTATGATGGAAGAAGATGTACCCTTTCATTCAGAAATAGTTACATTTGGGACATTATTTTTAATATTTCAATAAATTTTTAAACTCTACTTTAAAAAATATGAATCTGTCTGTATTTTCACACTAATGTAAATATTGTGATAATGAATTAAATTTGGCTAATAGTTTGATACATGCTGCTTCCATTATACTTATTCATATTTATTTCATCGTTTCTACTAAACACTGATCTTCTAGATGATAAAACATTACAACCAAATACAATGAAAAAAAAAATTGAAATGTAATCAAAAGCCCTTTTCTTTAAATTTTTATATTTATTCAATACGTTTGCAGCATTATACATTACTGAATTCTAATCAAATTGTCATACATTATTATATCAATCTGCATTTATATGCGTTTAAATGTGTGAAAATTCTGTGAATCACCTTTTACTTCTTGATTTTGTTGAGCAAAAAAAAAATCATCATCAAAATTTCACTGACCCTTTGAATCCAAAGCATGTGATCTAATCACTGCCCAAATATTGCAAGTAAGTTGGATGTGCCAACTTACTTGCAATATTTAAAGGTGTAGTAACCTTTTTTCAAGTAGAAAGGAAAAAACTATATGAAGAGATGACTAACTGCCAAGATAAATTGTTGCATAACTACAGATAAACAATATCTTTAACAATATCATTTCCTATATCATTTTTCCAATATCAATAACAATATCATTTCCAATATCTTAATATCTTGGCTTCAGAAGAGCTCAAATACTCTGTGTTTGGAGGCATAATAACATCTACTATTAAAGATCTACTATTAAATATAGAATAATAATTCTCTTGGGATGCTTTGATGCAACATTCTACAGAAGTCATAAGATTAATGATACAAAAAACCAATAATAAAATATTCAAGAAATACTTTTTTTTTTTTTAAATCTAACCTCCTGGCTGTTGATCAATATGATAACAAATAGCGAGGAGTTTATATATAGCAGCATCAATGCATCCACTGGTCTTTCTCTAAATAAGGACACAAAGAAATAGTAGCAAAATCTAGAAGTGGGAATAAATAAACTATATATAGCTTTTTAATGTTTTGGATATCTGCTAGTTGTGTACTTTGTACTTTTAGTATTGTACTTTCTCTTATGTATTGCAACATTATAGGTATATTATTAAGTTAAATATTAAATTATATATACAAATTATAAACATCATAATACTATATAATTAAATTATATATGTTATATATACATTAAATATTATTAAAAAACCAGTTTCTAGGACTCTAGTTGACAATACTATTATATTCCTGGATTATGGTTACTAATGCTATTATGTTTCATGTTCTAAGTGATATAGTGTTTATCAGTGATATTCTGAATATAGAGAACTTAAATATATTAAAAAAAGTTGAAATAGCAACCTGTTTTAAAGCAATTTAAAAGATTTTGTGTCATGTAAAATGACACATTTTTATATAGATTAATATTTTTTTTTTTATATAGATTCCCATCTGAAGTTCACTTTCACATGCATTGATGAAGCTGATATTGATAGAGAGTTTTCTTTTCATTTGACCTTGGTTGAATCAAAGAAAGATAATACCGTTTTATATGAAGGTAAAAATTTTTTTTTTAATGCTACTTTATGACTAATTGTTTTATATGAATATAGAAATTTTTTTTTCAATGCCACTTTATGACTACAAATGCTTAAAATTTAAAACGTATTAATGATCTACAACTAGTGGATTATGTATAAACCTCAAATTTCAAAAAAAGAAACAAGTAGTCCGTGTGTGTGTATATATATATATATATATATATATATATATATATATATATATATATATATATATATATATATATATATATATTAGGGTGTCCCAAAAAAAACATTTTTGAAAAATATACGCTTCCACCTCCTTAATAAGTCCTATATAAAAGCGGCTTTCCACGAAGCGAATTATTTCGCGCGACGCGAAATGTTTCGCCACAAATATTTCTGAGCATGCGCACAATCATTTTTTTTATCGCCTAGCGAATTTTTTCTCTTCGCAAAATAGTTGGATTGAAGAGCCAATCAGAACTTTTGAAATATGCAAACTCAGCAAATATGCAAATTCAGCATGTAAAAAAACAAAAAACAAAATTTTAATAACTGACAATAGTAACACGTTTATTGAGTGGTTTAAAGAAAGAAATGTTAGCGTAGATTTATTGGAAGCTTTAATAAATGCTTCTCAAAATCAAGTTTCAATCCCAAATGAAGAAATAGTTGATAAAATAGACGAAAACAAAGAGAATGAAAATGATAATTTTATTCCTGCTGTATTCGATATAGATTATTTTATAGAAGCTGTTTGTGAGCTTACAAGCTTGTGGGATGTGAATCATCCCACATACAAAGACAGTTTGGTTAAAGGCTTGGAAAAAACTTGCATTGAAATTTTGTAAAGAAGAGGACTTCCTTCAGAAAAAGTTAAATATCTGAAAGGTACACTGAAAAAATGTTTAGATAAACGTAACCGTTTGACCAGATCAGGAGCAGCAGCTTCAAACTTACCAAAATGTAAGTTTTTTGATCAAATAGCATTTTTGCATGAAAAAAGTGCGAACAAACCAACAGAATCTAATAAAGTTTATATTGTCCCAGATGTTGCTTCACGATCATTTCACTCACAATCTAGCCTTTCACAATCAAGTGCCAGTAGTTTTAGCAGTGAATTAGTTCTAACTGAAAATCGAAAAAGATTAAACCATACAGGACCACCCATTCAAAAGAAGCCACGAATCAAAAATCAAAATGACGAGTCATTGTCACAATTGTCACAATTATTAGTAGAGTGTGACAAGATATTAAAAAAGTCAATGGAAGATGTTGAGGAAGATGAAACTATTTTGTAGAAGACTTATTCCTATTACGAATGAAATTCCAATAAAAGAAAATAGACGGGCTATGATAAAGATAAAAACACTTCTTTTCAACATGAAATATGGTGAGAATGAAGAGTAAATTAAATATATATTATATATATAAACTTTAGAGTAATTTATATATATATATATAAATATATATATATATATATATATATATATATATATATATATATATATATATATATATATATATATATATATATATATATATATATGACCGCTATAGGTCAGCGAAATATTGTAAATATAAATATATATTAACATCAAAATATATTTAAAACAAACAGTTTATATGCTGCCTTTTTAATCAAACTTATTAAACAAATATTCGTACAACAAGAAAATGATTTTAAAAGATTTTATTACGGCTCTTTACGGCAAAGAGATTCACAAAGAAAACTAAGAAAAATACAAAAAGATACGAGTTACAAACAAAAAATCTCCTTCAAAAAAGAATAGAAAATTTAAAGGTGAAAATATAATGAATAAAAACAAAAGAACTTGGAGACTATTTTGGTCAAATTTTAACAAACACCATTATATTATTTTATAAAAACTATTTTTATTTTACGCCTGTAATGTCTTTTTTTTTTATAGTTACATTTTTGTAGTTTTGTAACAATGTTTGTAACATTTTTTATTCCACCTGATGATGCTGACCGCTATAGCTCAGCGAAATAGTGTAAATATAAATATATATTAACATTAAAATATATTTAAAACAAAAAGTTTATACGCTGCCTTTTTAATCAAACTTATTAAACAGAAATATTCGTATAACAAGAAAATGATTTTAAAATATATATATATATATATATATATATACAGTATTGGACAAAACATTTGCAACCAACATCAAACAATGCTAAAAAGTGTTCCTAATTTTACATGTCTTAAAAACGAAATGAACTATACTACCACAGCAAACAGTTCAGGAGTCTGGAGTCATAGCATGCTATGACATGAGCAATCAGCTGACAGGTGACAGCACACAGGCTAAATTTTGTTGACAAGTGCCATTTTGCAGCGGACAAAACAAGTGCAACTTTTTTGGTTTGTTCATTTTCTTAAGTCTGGTCCTAGTCAATGTCATGGAAGTTTTTTAGTAATTAAATGAAGTTTCCAGAAGTTTCCAGAAGCATGCAGAAGTTTCCACAAGAAGCATCTGGAAGCATCCAGAAGTATCCAGAAATATTCAGAAGCATCCAGAAGCTTCCAGAAGCATTGAAAAAAAGCATCTAGAATCTTCCAGAACAGGTTCACACAGGTTCATTTTACTATATAAGAGACATGTAAACCGACATGTAATTCAGTCAGTATATGGAAGTCAATCAGTCAGTATTATCAAGACAGTTTATCGAAGTGAGTTTTATCAGTGTTTTATCGAAGAACATCAATACAAGAAGTGAAATACAACAAGTGTTTTATTACATCAATACAGTCCACATCCAACCAAGGCATTGTGTTCCTTAGAGCATTGTTGTATCATCACAAGGTAAATGTAACACGGTAAGCCTTAAGAAGTGTGCTTATTTATTTTTATTATTTTTTTGACTTCAAGTGCAAAAATGACTCTTGACAGTCTTGGATTGGAACTAAGAAAAAAAATTATTGGCAATTATGTAAGTGGAATATCGCAAAAAAGTATTTGTGATAAATATTGCGTGAAAAAATGGACCGTATTAAGACTATGTTCCAAATATCATTCTAACCGGAAGTTGGCAGCAGATAACAAAGGTGGAAGACTGTGTTTCACCACTTCTAGAGAGGATTCTATGATTGTCAGATCCATCAAGAAGGATCCCTGGACATCATCAGTCAAGATATAAAAGCAATTAGAGCTGCTTGTATCGGACAGAACAATCAAACGACATGCTGTCGAAACCGGATTGTTTTCTCGACGCCCTGCAAAGAAACCAGAAAAAAAGACTCCTGTTTGCTACATCTCATATTGACTGGAATGTGCGGAAATGGCGAACTGTCCTGTTCAGTGATGAATCGAAGTTCAACATCATTGGGAGCGATGGCATTGCCGTGTACATTGACCAGCTGGAAAACGCCTCGATTTACATTACTGCCATAAGACCATGAAGCATGGTGGAGGCAATGTAATGGTCTGGGGGTGTTTTCCTGCTAACAGCCTAGGTCCAATACATCGAATCGATGGAATAAAGGACCGTTTCATGTATAAAAGTATCCTGAAAGATGTTATGTTACCTCATGCTGAATGGAATATGCCAATAAAATGGGTTTTTCAGCAAGACAACGATCTGAAACACACTGCAAAATTAGTCAAGCAGTGGTTTCAAGACAACCACCTATCGGTGATGGATTGGCCGCCTCAATCTCCAGATCTCAACCCTATCGAGAACCTGTGGGAGATTGTCAATCGCAGAATTAATTGTGAAGGTGTTCGTAATAAGGATCAACTGTTTGAACAAATCCAAAAGGCCTAGGCAGCGATTCCACAAAGTTTCATTGATCACCTGATTGAATCTAAGCCTCGAAGATGCAAGGCTGTGATCGACAACAAAGGATTCGCTACAAAATGTTGACCAAGCGAAATACAGCTTGGTCAACATTTTGTGGAGTTGCACTTATTTAAATATAAAAAGCAATCTTTAGATCAACATAAAAATTATTATTTTGAAGATTTTAAGTTAGTTTTGTAATAAAATTATTATTATATTATTAAAAGTATATTTGCTCTAGTCTTACAATTTTACCATATCAATTGTTAACATAATTTACTTTATCTTTAAAGAAATATAAGATTGAAAAGTGCCATAATGTTTTAAGTAATTGTTGTTAGCATTTACCCTTAAACTACATAGTTTAATATAGTGACTTATACGTTCACCTTTACAAGTTTCTATTTACCAAGTCTAGTTCCCAGTTCTCCTTCTGGTGTATTAAAGTATTCTTTAAAGTCGTCTCTAACTTTGTTTGCATTTTTTGAGTTGTTGTTAGAACCTGAATGTGACAGTGGTTGTAGTGCAGCAGAACATGAATTATCTTGTCTCCAATCACCTGGTCTAAATCCAGCAGGACCGTCGATATCGGTGTAATTTGTGGGACAGTAGAGATAATTGTTTGCCGATCTTTTTTTTATAAAATAGTTATGCTACAATAGCTTGTGTAATTAAAATGACTTTTTCAAGATTTGCAATGATTGGTCTGCGAAATATTAAAAAGCGTGTTGTAGCAATACAAAATGTATTTTCTATAACCCTTCTGGCTCTTGAAAGTCTGTAATTGAATATTTCTTGATCTAAAGGAATGTTTTGATTAGGGTATGGTTTCATCATGTGTCTTTTTAAACCAAAAGCATCGTCGGCAACTAAAACGTACGGAAATATTTTTTCTGAATTACCAATATATTCAGGATCAGGAATATTCAATTTATTATTTTCAATTGCATAACCAAGACTGCAATTTTTAAAAACGCTACCATCACTTTGTCTTCCCGAGTCACTAATGTCTACCATAGCAAATTCGTATTTAGCATTTCAAACAGCTAAAAGAACTATGTTATGCGTTTTCTTATAGTTAAAATACTCTGATCCGCCATTATGAGGAGCTTGCATAACGATGTGCCATCTATTGCACCTATACTTTGCGGAAAGTTCCACATGTTTTCAAATTATTTTGCAATTGTTTTCTATTCTTGTTTTTTTGATGGGACGCGTAGAAAATTTCTCTCTTTTAATGATGTCCAGATAGCAGCACATGTTTCACTAATAATTCTACTGATAGTAGATGCGCTGATGCGCTGAAATCTAAGTGTTACGGCAAGCCTTTCACTCGGACTCACAGGGTCTTTCATATTAGTTCTTTGTTTCACAATGATTGGTGCTACAAACGAAAGCAACTCTTTGTAAGTCATAGCAGACACACGAAAATACTTAAAAAAGTATTCCTGGTCGTGTTAACGTAAATCCTGGACTAATAAAAGAAACTCTCTTTTCTGAAGGCGCTCGGTATAACTTTTCTTAACCCAAAATCGTTTTTCCTTGTTTTCTTTTTCTCGTTTCATTTGCAACATTTTTAAAACAATTAATTTTCTTCGAACTAACAACAATCTTTTAATCAACATGCTTTCCAAAAAGCGCGCTAAAAGTTATGCTAAAGTTACGCGGAAAATAAAATTCTGATTCTGCGAAAAATTACTGGCAAAAAAGTTTGCTACACACGAAATTATGGACCTTTCCCATAAATCTGCAAATGCGCAATGCATTGTGGTAGTTGTATTCATTTAAATCAAAACAATCCGATTAAATTATTAGGAATTAAATATTATTATAATGATAAGTTCTTTTAATGCTAATTTAGAAAATAAAATTGATGCTAGTTTTTTTCAGAACTCTTGCCAGGCATCTAAAGCTGTGTTTCGGGAACTTAAGCATGATGAACTTATTGCTGTTGACGAAGAAGAATCTATAAACAAGAGTATATCAACTTGGTCAAGAGACATTTCACTTTACCAAATATATCTCACAATTTTAATTCACAAATCTTGTTAATGATGCTATATTTATTGATAATTGTAAAAAAGGAGCCAATAAACACCAAACTCTTGGCTATCGTTTATTTAAAGAAAAATGTCAAAAATGTTTGTGTTAAAGCAAATGTAACAGCATCCATAAATTTGTTTATTGCTAAGTCTAATGTTGCTTCGTCTATGAAACATAAACAATATGAAGTTTTTATACACTTATGCCAATCTACTGGTGAAACACTTTATGCTAAATGCCATTGTAAAGCTGGTGCGCGGGGCTGTTGTAAGCATGTTGCTGCATCATTATATCAACTAGTTGACTATAAAGAGTTAGACATTAAAGTGGTCCCAGAAACCAAAACATGTACTGATGTTTTACAGATATGGCATGTACCAAGTGAATCATCCAACTTTGAAGCAATTTTGTTTTCAAACTTAAATTTTGAAAAAGCTGATGCTTTTAAAGACAAAAATAGTACTCGAAAAAGACCTTTAGTTTCAGGAACACGTAGATACCATTCATTACCAAATTGTTACGAAACTTCAACTTTACAACTTCAAACTCTTTGTGAAGGTTTAGAAAATCTCTGCCAGGGGACATATATATCTTCAATAATTCGTGTTAATAATTTTCAGGCATGTTCCTTTTTTAATTCATCTCTGTCAACATTTATAGACAATGATATTGCAGAACCTTTTAGTAAAAAAGGTGACAGATTGATTATTATTACTCTATTTGACAATTTACAAAATATGATTGATTTAAGTTGTTTGTCTACTGAACAAAAAGCATTTGTAGAATTGCAATTAATTGTTGACATTGAGGAAGCTAAAAATATTGAAGTCAATACAGTTAAACTATCTAAAAGTATATTATGGTATCAAGAAAGAGGCAAACGATTGACAGCTTCAAATTTTGGTACTGTAATGAATAGGTGGAAAAAAATTTACCCAACATCAGTTTAAAAAAAATGTTTACAAACTCAAAATATAAAAGTAGGAGAAAGATGTATGTGGGTAAAGGTTAATGAAGATATAGCAATAAAGCTATATGAAAGCATAACGAAGTCAAGTGTTATTCGATGTGGTTTCTTTATAAACCCAAAATGCCTTTGGTTGGGTTGTAGCCCTGATGGAGTAGTTAGCGCTGAAAAAGTACTTGAAGTGAAATGTCCTTCTTCAAAAAAACATTTAACAATTGAAGAAGCGTGTCAAGATAAAAATTTTATTTGAAATTTATTATTATTGAAAAATATTGGTAGTGCTCAATGAAATATTAAACCGTATTGCTAAATCTTCTATAGGAAAGGCGAATTAGCATCATAAAAAATTCCTCTTCAACGTTTAATATACGTGATCTTCCTCTTGTTTTAAATGAAGAAGTTTCACATAAATTGTCAGCAATAGTAGACATTGAACCCCAATAATTTAGTGAATATATTTCTGGTTCTAAAATCTTCATGACTACTTTAAATAGTTCAAAATTTTCCTGTCTAAAATTTGAAATGTTCTTTGTTATGCTTAAACCTTTCAACTGTAAATTGTGATAGAAATATTTTGTCATTGAGCTTACATATAGCTTCTTTTTGAGTGTTTACTAACGCTTGTTTTTCTTTTATAATGTCCTCAATTTGATCTTAAGGAATTTTATTTTCTTGTTTTAATTTTTCTTTGTAGCTTAAAACAGGTGTCGACAGTTCTTCACTATAAGGTATTTGTGTTGTTTTATGTATTAAACCAAGGCTATTTTTGGTTTTCCTTGGTACACGAGCAGTTAGTTTAACTGTTTTTGGAATAATTGTTGGAACATTATTCATATAAGTTTTTTTGTTCCCTTGAAAGTGTGCTGAACAAACTCTGAGTGAAGAAGGAGTGAAGTCTTTTCTGCTAATTTTGGCTAACCATAACTTTCTTAACACTTTTTCCTTGGGTATAACATAAAATGGTAAGTTTTTATTACGCTTAGAATTATTAAAACAGTTTGGTACACAACAAGTACATCCCTCACTTTTTGAAGTGAAGTCAACTTCACTCAGTGAGATCAAATTTTGTAAAAAGAGTGAAGTTAAACTTTGTGAAAACAGTGGTTCACTGTTTTCATAAGGTTCAGCTTCTCCGTTAAAAGTGAGTTCACCTTCAGTAATTTCATCTTCACTGTTTTCATAAAGTTCAATTTCACTGTTTTCACAAAGTTCAATCTCACTGTTTTCACATAATTGAATATCACTGTTAAAATTTATTAGGCTTTTCGACATTTGTTTTGATTTAAATGAATACAACTACCACAATGGATTGCGCATTTGCCGATTTATGGGAAAGAATAAAATAACACTGTATTTAAAAAAAATTTGAATAAAAAATATTATTAGGCGTCCCTCAAGACTCTTCAAAAGTTGATTCTCAAATAAAGAAAAATTGTATGAAAATTTTTAAAAATTATAATTATATCATATAATAAGTTTAATACATATGAAAAAATTTATAACTTCGTTTTATAGTGTTCGAATGCAATCCACAACTGCCGATGTTAGAAAATATTGTGAAAGAACTTAATCTATCGAATAACCTTCGCAAATTTTTGTGTGCCGTTAGAAGAGAATTTCAAGCAGCCATTGTTTAAATTTTAACTTTCAATGGATAATTATTTATACTGTAAACTATTGTATATAATAATAGTGTATATAAGTTAACATAATTATATTTAAGATTTTCCGCGTTTTAGCTTTTGTTGTTAACTCGACTGCTAATTAACTTGTACCTAAGTTTCGAAAGCGCACTATTGACAAGCAATTTTGTTATGTTTTGTTATTAAAAAAACTTCTATAAAATTCTGCTAGAACCTTTTTGCATCTTCTAGATATGCTCCTGCATAATATTATTAAAGAAATTCAATCTAACTCACTACGTTTGTTAACGTAAACAAAAGCAGTAAAGTGTTCAATGAGGCCCATAAAGAAATAGACTAGATTTTTAGTTTTTGTGCAAACAATTAAAGGTCTTTGTTATTCTATTAAGTTATTATTATTTTATTTATTTTTATTTTTTATTTATTATTATTTACCTATTGTTATTTTAAGTCTTTAATTATTAAAATATCGAAGTAACTAAAATGATATATCTAGTTTTTAATTATATTATTATTATATATTATTGTAAGTTTTATAATAATATCTATAAATATTGTTTTTTATCATTTTATCAAAAATATTATAAAATAATATATAGATTATTATAATCAAGTGCATTTTTCAATTCAATTTTTTTTTCACTAAACTCATGAAGTTTATATTATATTAAAGCTTGTATTTTTTAACTATTTTAAAGATTTTTAACAAAGTAAAATCTTTGATCGGTATTAGTTTTTTAACTTTTTTATTTTTGAAATCGCTAATTAGTTTTCTTTTGTTCTTTTTGGAGTTTCAACGAAACTGCTCTGTCAATTCGCGAATACAAATTATCCATGCTTTCTTTTACAACTTTTTCGAACTTTGATAATTTTCGCTTTGAATGGAGTTTGTTGTTTTTAACAACTTCATTGTTTTTGCTTGTAATTTTATGAGATTTTTTTTTCTTTGCTTTAGAAGTTTTTATAAGCGATTTTGATTGGGTAAAATTTGGAGTAATGAAAACGCCCTTGTGTTTATTTTTGTGGTGATCAGACAATAAAGGATGACGATTTAGTTTTTTTTTTGTTTGCTTTTTCCCTTTACTTTTTGAATATTGTTTTGAATATTTATGTTTAAAAGGTTTTTTGCTATCTTTATTGTCAAATTTTGTTGAACTCTGTGTCTTGTCTTTTTTTTCTCCAAATATGACACTCTTTTTGGTACCGGTTACCGTTGGTTTAGAATCGTTGTCACTTGGTTGATTTTGAAAATCGCCAATTTTTTCTGGGTTAAGAGAACCTATTTGCTCCGGGTTTAATGAAACTTTAATTGTTTCATCAGAGTCATTTATAGCTGGTGCCGATACCTTTTCATCTAACGATACCTTTTCATCTAACGATACCTTCTCTTCTCTTACAGCTAACGATACCTTCTCTTCTGGGTTTAAAACTGGAGTATCTTTCAGATCGTTTGAACTCAAAGTTGTTTGTTTGTCGTCAAACAAATTTTCTGTAAGTTTAGTTGGTACTACATCTTTTACTTTGGCAACATTATTCTCCTGGTTTTCTTCAACGCGAAGATCTGTTTGTTCCATGTTATTTGGGTTTTGTAATTTTTTTAATGTAGTCAGTTCAGGAATAAATCCGAAATTTTCTTTTAAATTTTGGTGAAGTAAACTATGAATACGTTCTTTATTTTTTAAAATTTGCTCTTTAGCTATTTCGTTGTTTAGAACTTTATGCGCTCGTGGAAAATCTTTAAGATGTTCCCCAATATTTTGTAACTCTGTGTCTGTATTAGACTGGTCTTGCTTTGCTTCTTTATTTTCTAACGCATTTATATAAATTTTTGTATCATCTTTTTGTTCAAAATTGATGTTATCATTTCCATCACTGTTTGATTCTTGTGGTTTTTTTTCTACAATGTTACTAGCCTCTTTGGTAATTGCAGTTTCCTTTATCCCACTTGTAGTCGTTTTTATTAATTCTTTCGAACCTTCGTCGCTTGTTTTTGATATATTTAAGTCTTCTTCTGTTTCCTTGGAGTTTGTGATTTGTTTTGAGTCTTTTTCGGTTGCTTTTTGCATTTGCTTTAGATCATTGCTGAGAAATATTTTATTGCTAAGTTTATTTTTTTCTCTTACTTTTTTAGTACGAAGAAAAGGAGTTTTTGTTTTTGAAGAGCTGTCATCTGCATCTTCATCGTTATTTTTGTATTTGTCGAAGTCTTCAATATGTAAACCAAGAAAAGGATAAAAATTAACATAGTTTGGGTCGCTTTTATTTACTGGGTTTGCCGAATTAATGTTAAATACAGAGGATGCTGAAAATCCTGGTGTCTTATCATTTGAACTAAATTTCTCTGGTTTTGTTAAAATTGGATTACTATTTTTATTTAAATCTCTTTGCTCTTCCAATTTTTTTACATATTTTTTTCTTAGTTTTTCATTTTCATAAAGTGAAGCATTACTGAAGGTTTGGTCTAATAAAGAGGTATTGTTAAGGTGGTGTTCCTCTAATTTATGTGCGTGATTACGTTTTTTGTGATTATTCTTTCCTGAAACATCATTGAAGTTGCTCATAGAATTGAAAACTTGATCGATCATATTTTTTTCGGATTCTTGACTGACATTAGTGTTACTTTCTAGAAACGGAAATTTAACCTGAAAATATCCTGATGGTATGGGTGAAACCAATGGTTGATGGGGTACAGGTGGAACCAATGGTTGGTTAGATATCGGTGGAACCAATGGTTGGTTAGATATCGGTGGAACCAATGGTTGATTAAATATGGGTGGAACCAATGGTTCCACCCATTGAGTAGGTTCAAATGCAGATTGATTAGCTTTATAAATTTTGTTATCCAAAACTTTCTCATTGTTTTTAATTTCGTGTAAGTTTTTTTGAATTTCATTGTACGAGAATGACATTGAGTTGTTTATTTTTGAATTATCTTGTAACAAAGTTGAGCTTTCATTTGATAACTTTTTTTCTTGATTAACTTCTTTTTTGTTTTGTGGAACTTCTTTATTTGATAACTTCTTCTCTTGATCAACTTCTTTTTTGTTTTGTGGAACTTCTTTATTTGATAACTTCTTCTCTTGATCAACTTCTTTTTTGTTTTGTGGAACTTCTTTATTTTCACTTATTTTTTTTCGGTCTTCTATGATTTTTGTGAAATCTTCTTTAGTCAGCTTACTTTTCATAGGAATTTGAAACTGGGGGTTTTTTATGACTACCGCGACAGGATTCTCTGTTACACCGCACAAATGGTTTTCCATTGCTAATTTCATATAACCACCTTCTCCCCAACTGCTAGACCACGAGTTCTTTATAATCCAATATTCTCTGCCATTTAGTTTTCCGTAGCCTACAATTAATGCTGAATGATGTGTTTGGTTTGAAACTGAAAGTTGAAAGAAAAGTTTTGAGTAAATATAAAAAAGTCTTTAGTAAATATAAAAAAAAACTTTAAAAAGAACTTAAGTGGCATCAAGTATATAAACAACAAAACAAAATAAAAGATACTTACGGCATTCCTTGTCATCATATATTCCTTTACTATAGAATTTGAAGGATAAAGGTTTAGTATTGATTGAAACAGCTACAGGTCCATACTTTGCGACCACTCTTTTTAATGCACTTATATTGTAAGGTTGAATGTATGAAAACCCATCAATCTGTGCCCCAAAAAGGGTATCATTAAAGTGACAGTATCCCTCCTAAAATGTAAACAAAAAGTTGCTAAACAATAAAATAGTTTGTATCAGCAATAGGTTTACTTACCTCCTGTAATAAATAAACAATTTTATATTAATATGGATTTTTATGGATAATAATGGATTTATTCTGATAATACATTGTCCAAACAACAACAACTATAAATAGTTAATAATAATGTGCAATTATTGAATATTTATTATATACAAATTATATGTGAAAATTGCTATAATATGTATTATATGTATTTGTTATATAAAAAAGCTCATCGCGTGTTAAATCCATAAAAAGAACATTTAAAAGTAAAAAAATATTCGTATTGTTAGTTGCTAAATTGCATTAAAAACTTTTTCAATCTTTTATTTTCATGTTATATTTACGTATCGTAGTTATGTGTAAATATTTGGCTTTAAATTAAATATGTTATATATAATTCGTAGCCAGTGCAGGCAGTTATATGAAAAATGACACTGTGCAATGACCTAAAAATTTAAGAATGCCAATATGCGCTATGTACTAATTTTTACCATGCTGAGTTAAGATTTGAAGTTATTTTATACCACCCACCAATGTTTTCAAATTATCTTTACTGTTTTCCACTGCATATAGTTAAACAATAAGGAGTAGATACACAGCCAATAGACATTAAACAGGCTTTTAGTTGGTAGTTCGTCATCATGGGCTCTAGGAATATCTAAAAGCAAGTTTATCAAATTTACTTGTTTTTGTTGAAAAGTAAACTGTTAAAAGCTTTTCGACTCTTTTGTGTGTTTTAACTGCTCATTTTAGGATCATTGACAAAAAAGTTTTTATCATGTATTTTTGTTTTAATTGTTTGTTTTAATCGTTTATTTTTATTGTGTATTTTTATTTGGTATGGTTAAATTGAATGAATTTACTGTTGTGAGAGGTTTGCAAAGTTTCTAAAAAAGAAACAATTTTAACTCTTTTTTTTTTTTTTTGAGAAAAATTTCAAGCACAGATCAAATGTTTGATTAAACAAGTTTTCATGGCGTAAGATGCAAACTAGATGAAACAATGTCAGGTTTGAATTTTGTTAGTAATATATGCAATCGTTAAGTTCCCAGTGGGCACGGTACGTTTTTTAAACGCTCTTTGAACGTTTTTATTTGATTTAAACCTAATTATAACGTCCAAAGATTTAAAATTTAAAAATGTACCGTGCCCACTAGGTTAAAGCAGTGAACAAAAAAATAAAGTATTCAAAGATTTAAGTGAAGCCAGAAAACTGCAAGGCAAAATATCTTTTAACAATATCGTAGAACGAGAATTTTGATAATCGTAATTAAAGTAATAATTTAATAATCAACAAGACTATCAATAACACCAATAAAAAAAGATTGAGAAATACAAAGAAAAGGATAAGATAACTTTTTAGCTTAAAAATTCAGTATCGAAAGAGATAAAAATTGAAAAGCTTATAATAAGAGAGGCGTTTGAGAAAATCTTTAGCGAACAATAGGTTTGAGCAAAACAAATTTAACAGTATTTTAATAAATCAACATCTTGAAAAAATTAATCAGTTCTAGGTATTTAGAATATTTTTATATAATATTCAAAATACCTAATTAGTTTTATAAAATTTATGAAAAAAGATTTGAACACAAAGGACGTAAATTTGTTTTTAAGTAGTTGAAATTAGCATTATAATTTATTTTACATTAATATAAACATGCAAAAGTTTATTTCTCATAATGTTCTTGGCAAAATCACCTAAAAACAAATTTACCTCCATTTTTAATTCTGTTCAGACACTTTTTACCTGTCCTAAATATTTTCCATAGCTTTTATCAGTTGATACTCCGTGAGTAAATATCCAACTTAATGCGGACGCATAATGTCCGCCTTTGCAACCGTGATTACCGTATCCCCAACTACAGTCAACTAATTGTTGTGACGACACTTCAATTAATTTACCAGTCTAAAAAAAAATAAAAACATAATTATTTGTTGCATTGAAAATAGTATAGCATTAAAAGTAATATCAACAATTACAAGTAATTTACAGGTGTTAGTGGATATTGATTGTCTCATACAAAAATAGAAACTAGTATCGGGGGATTAAAACAATATTACAATTTAAATTTTAATTTATTCAATTATATAGCATTTATAGCATTTGAGTTTCCGTGGTTTCCATGGTTTCCATATCTGTCCTCAAAAATAATGTTTTTGTAACTGGAGAAAAATTTTATTTTATGACGAAAATCTCTTATATTTATAAAAAGTATATTTGAGTTTCTATATTTGTCAATTTCAATAAAAAAAAAAGACCTATTTTGTTTGTATAACTTGGCTAAAATTCTTAAAGTTAAACTGTCTCACCTTAACCTGTTTCCCTTGCTTATCCTTTTAACCTGCTGTATATGTTTTTATTCTAATCTAACCACGAACTTGAGGTTAAACAAAAAAGATTGCATTTAGCATGATCAAATATGATTTAATCAAATTAAATGAAAACAAAGTATCAAGAACCAAAAATATTTTTGGCAGAATACCGAAAATAAGGTTACTTCTCAAAAACAACATTAATAAATTTTTATAATGTAGTTTGAAAAGTCAAGTTCCTATTGGATATTACAGGACGAGTTTCTGTTGGATATTATATGAAATATAAGAACCTTAACTATCGAAAAGTGACTTTAAAACACTTTTAACATTGCTTCCTATTACAAATATAATTTCTTCAGATTAAATCAAACACATACATGTTAAAAAATATCTGTCAACCTTGTTCCCATTCTCCTATCAATATCTGTCAACCTGAAATGAATTCGATTGTCATAAGATTAATCGTACCAAAGAAATGTTTTTTTTTTAGTCCATGGTCATACCTACGCAATTATTCTAAGCCAGATGTGCGCGAATACTCAAAGATATATCTACACGAATACTTGAAAGCATACCTACGTAATTATTGAAAGGCGTTCTAACGCAACTGCTAGAAGAAATTATATATTTATACTAAAGACTTTAGTTGCGATCAAACAAAAATAAATAATCCAAATATTTGCGACACAGTCGTTAAAAAGATCCTGCTCTCTCTGCAATAAAAATCGCAATTTCTAAAATATAAAGTGTATAAAATTTGAAAAAGATTTACGTTTTTTTTGTTTCCTACCTTTCGAAACCAGCCTCCTTCAGCAGCACCAGCGGCAGTGAAAGCATAACATCCACTGCATATACCTTGGCCTTTTACACTTGTTACCGCGCCTAGAGTTATTATATAGAAAATTCAAAACATTTTCAATCAATTTTTTTTACTAACTACAAATATAAGTTATATAATTATATTTCATTTTCAATATTTTAAATATATTTTAATTTGATTGGTTGGTTTAACAATAGCTTATTATTTGTTTAACTAACTTTCGGCTTCTTGAAAAGTCAGGATTAAACAATTTATTTTAATTCATTCAAGTTTATTGTTTTACATTTTGTAGATAAGGGAAGTTCGTTTACCTAGGACCAAATTTTTTCAATGTCCAAACTCAAGGCCTTAGACTTATCTAAAAATGGTGAAACTGATATGATCACACCTCTATACTAATTACTTTGCATTAGTATAATATTGACTTAAACTATAAATATCCGTCTTGTAGAAGGGTTTAAAAATTGGTAGCAATAGGTTCAATAAGCTTTACGATTGCTCGAAGCTCTACGGGCAATAGCTATCGTACCTAGGCCACACTCTGAAAGTTGGGTTTAACTCCATAATAAGTTGAAAAAAAAGATAATTAATTTTTTTGAAAAAATTAAAAAAAAAAATTTTCGAAGACATAAATTTGGTTAAAAATTTATTTAATCTTAGATTGTTTTCAACATATTTATTTAGTGTTACTTGATTGCAACTCTTAAATAAATAACAAAATTGACTAATAGTTCTGAGCAAAATTGACAAATAAGTCTACGCCTAAAATGGTAGTCTCAAAAAAACCTCGTGGAAAAAAAAACTATACACCAATCAAAATTCAACAATCTACCTCGTTATCGAGCAAATTTACGCAAACCCGGCCCTAGGTACAAGAAATGATAGCCTCTTGAAAAATGTCATCTATTAACAAACCCAAATAACAGAAAAAATGAGAGGAAACTTATTGAATATCGTATTTAGGAGACCCTAGGTACATAAACTTTCCCAAATATCTAATTGATGTCATCGAGCAAGAAGGTATAATAGCTTAGCTGGAGGGAGAACGAAGTCGAAAATGGATTTAAATCGTGTTACAGTCTTTGTAGTATAATTATTCCAGTAGCAAATCAAAATGGCGCTTTTGCAAAAAAAATGAAAAACTTTGAAATCTAATCAGTAAGCTTAGAGAGTTGTAATCGAAATGGATTAATAAAATAAAAGTTTGTTGGATATGTTTTTAACAACTATTCGATCAATCAAGAAGTTAATTGAAACAAAAAAAAACGATTAAGGTGAAGTAATTGTTTCTTGCGTACCTCAATTATAGGTATAATTGAGGTACGCAATAAATATGAAAGTTTTAGACAATCTCTATTACCTATTTGAACCTTATTTTTTGCTTGCCTGTTCAGCTATAAGTTATTTACGCTTTTTTAAACTGTTTCTTCGACCAGGAACTTATTAAATCCCTCCAGGATTTTATTTTGTGTTGGAGTATTTTTGCTGGATTTAACAGCAAATTACTTTATTCTAAATTTAAAATAGATGGCAAAAATATAAAAAGATATAAAATACATGGAAAAATTACTACTAATTCATATCTAGACATTTATTAATTCAATTCTAGAAATTAATTATTAGCCGTTCAAAAAGCACAACAAAAAATAACAACAAACTGACTTTAAATATTATTTACGAACTTTTTTAACTTCCATTTTTCTATTTGCAATGCTTTAATTGCTTATGACGTTTTGAAATAATATCATAGGATAGCTTTTGTTAAAAGTGGAATGTGATGGGTTAAATGTAAATAATGATAATTCCACCATATTTAAATGAAAATTATGTTACTCCTAAGACTGTACTTTGAGAAAAGACGTATTTTAACTTCGTTCTCCCTCCAGCTACGCTATTATAACTCCTTGCATGGAGGTACACTATATATAAACCATAAGTTGACATACACTATATATCTAGTATTTTTAATTGGCAACAGTGTAATTTAAATTAGTTTAGAAAGGTAAAAATTTACAAAACTTTTACCTATAGATTAAAGTTTTATAAATAAAAAGAAGTTAATATTTAACTTTATGTTGTACTCAAGAACATGCAAGTAACACAGAAACTGAGCGCTGCCTAATTTTGTTTTAAAGACATTTTTTAGATGTCTTATACTAAAGGTAAAACCGACGGATATCTTGAAAAACCGACGGAAATCTTGAAAAACCGACAGAAACCTTAAAATTGATTTTATTGTAATTAAGTCTCAACTAAGTAAATGTAAGAATTAAATTTTAAGTTGTACATATATGTACAACTTGTAAATCTTTTTATTTTAAAAATGTTTTCTCCGAAGTTTTCTACTATTAAACCTCTTATGTATTTATTGTTAAAAATTCAGTTTAATTTTAAATGCATATCTTTCTCAATAATTAACCTATTTTATCTCATTTATATCCATAAACCTCCCTTATCTCTCTCCTCTCATTTCTAAATGAACTAAGCATTAATCTGCAGAAACACAATCATAAAAAAAAAGTACAAAAATGCAAAAGCTTGGCGTCAATAAAGTAATTTAAACATTTATTTAAAAAAGAAAAAAAAAATTTCACCGAATTCTCTCCAATCTATTTCTTCAGGGATTTCATCTTCATTAACTTGAACAAAAGGTTTTTTATCAATATCTGCTTTGTTATAAATATTGCTTTTGCTATCAGGAAAGTCAGCCATGTTTATAATTCCTTTATGTTTTTTTGTATCTTTGGCAAGATTTCCATGAAACATATTCAATTCTTCGGCAGACATGTCGATAAAGTGGTTGGGTCTCAACTTAAACTGAGTATTTTTTCTGTTGTGTGAGTTAACAAATCTATAAATAATTAATACGATACTTTTATCAATAATTATAGATGTGCAGTGGTAAATTTAATGAATGGTCATCATAAAACAAAAACATCAAGATAAAACTTAAATGTAACTAAAATAGTGTCGTAGATAAAACCAGGTTGGCTATAAAAAATAAGTTGACAAAAAACTTAAAAATATTTTGATCAAAACTGATTTTCTTTTACAAAAAAATTGAAAAATTGACTCATTTTTGAAATTGTAGATTTTTAAAAAAAGGTCATGGGATTTCTAAAGAAATTGCACCGTTTTTTTTAAGGTAGTTTTTTTAAAATGTCTCCACAAGGTGAGTATCAAATGAAGAAGCTACATTAAAAAACTTACGAAAAATTAAAGAACAACATAAAAAAATTACATCAGATAGTCTGATAACATCAGTAATTAGTTATTTTTAGTTATTAGGGTGCTCCAATAAGATCTACTAGTCAAATTGCAGCGGACTGCGGATGAGCATCTAATCAGAAATTTCACGTCTCATTTCTTATCAACATCTCATCAATGTCTCATTTCTTATCAACATCGCTTGTTTGGCCAGAGCCCGCATCGAACCTTGAACCTCTTCGTTCTAAGCCAGAAATTACTCAAAAATTACATATAATACAGCCGCTAACTGATAACTTTTTTTGTTTGAGAGGAGAAAAGTAAAGATTGTGCACTGTACATGTTGTTGAATATGAAACACTCAGTTACTTAAACAGTGGCTTTACTTAACGGCGATTTTTTAAAACATGTGTGGTTCCAATAACTACCCAAATTGCAATTTATATTCCAAATCAATGAAAACCGATGTCGCAAAACTTGCCTCTGGCAAGTTTTGCGACATCGGTTGGGAAGGAGGCGTGAACTTCCTATTAAATGCTCTTCCGCGGTGCTCTGTGATAAGACCGTAAGGACTTCTTGGGGCACCTTAATCAACTTAATCAAAAAAAAAAAAAAAAACTTCATATTAATCATTGTATTAAACATTATATCGCAACATACTTACGGCAATATCGAATGAGCAAGCATTATATTAAACATTATATTGCAACATAACTTACGGCAATATCGTATGGGCAAGCAACAGCTACGCTAAGTTAAAGAAAATTTATACTAAACAAAAACATGCATGTAGAATTGTATTTGGAGTAAAAAGATCTGTGCCTTGTGAGCCACTTTTACGTAAACTCAGTGCATTAAATGTGTTTAAAATTAACTTATTCCTCGTCATACAGTTCATGTATCAAATAAAACATGGACTGTCTCCAGAGATATTCTATCCTTATTTTAGAGAAGTAAGCCATAAATACCCCACCAAGTTCTCAGAAAATAACTTTGTAATTCAAAAGTATAATCTAAAGTTATGTTCTTATTCTATTCAGTACAGGGGTCCAATTTTGTGGAAAAACTTTCAGCATATTGTTAATATTAAAGAAAAAACACTTCCGCAATTCAAATCTAAATTAAGACGTTATTTAGTACATACGGATTTTAATATAGCAGATCTTCAATGTCACTTTTAAAGCTTTAAAATTTATTAAACTAAATTAGCACCTTAAATTTAAAAATCTAGACCATTTAACAATACTAAGAATTTCAATGTCTTTATCATACTTTCATTGAATATATATATTCTCTTAAAGTTACCTACAATTTTCTTGATATATTTTATAATATTGAAACAGAATTTTTATTTGAATTTTGAATTATTTTGAAAGAAAATAATATATACAAATATATATGTCGAATCACATCCAATTTATAACCAAAAACAGAAAATTTTTGTCATTTTTATTACTATATTTTAATCATTTCTTTTTATTTTTTTTATTTTTCTTCAATTATTTTAATTTTTTTTTTTTTTTTTTTCCTTCTTTTTAACTTTGTTTCTAAACATTTTAAATTGTCTTTTTTTAAACACTTTTGCTTATATATTACGGATTATTGTATATTATGGATAGTTATTTGCTTTACTATTGGGGCTCGGTGATAAGGCTATTTTATGCCTTCTTCTTGCTCCAGGCAATTGTACTTTTTATATTGTTGTACTTTGTAAATATTTTTAACGGCGAAATAAACTAATAAACTAAAAAGAAAAAAAAAAAAAACATCATTAAACATCATATTGGAAGAATATTAAACATCATATTGCAACAAAATTGTACCATCATGATATAGTTCAACCCTATATTGCTTGTCAATTAATTCCCTTGGACAAAAATCCCCGTATTTGTCCCATATAAATAGGAGAAGTGTAACAAAGGATTGTTGGTAAAACCATAAGCCAACAAAGTCAAAAAGAAATCAAAGATGCAGCTAGACCACTACAGACCAGCGCAGGACACGGTGCAAGAACAGATGCAATACATTCCATGCAAGAGATATTTCATCAAGAAGATAGAGATGGGGTTTTGATAAACCACTCCGTTGTACTACGTAATATACAGATAACTTGACCAATTTTAGCCATGTATTTAATCAATACTATTCATCTACGGCGGAGAAACTATTTTTCCGAGAAATAGAACGACACAAGGCAACCCCCTCGCTATTGCCATTGTACTCTCTTAGCACTGTGTCTCTGTGTGCACTTAGTCTCTTAGTTCGGAAGCATAAAAAAAACCGAATTATAAGGATTTAGTGAATAAATGGTCTAACAAACTTAACAATCTCTGCAAAATCGCTAATACACAATCACAAACTTCTCATGCAGCTTTTGTTAAAGGATATAAATCTAAATTCACATACTTCTTACGCACATCGAAGCTTACGAAGAATTCGTAACACCAGTTAAAAAATTATTATCAGAAATTTTTTGACCTGTGTTTGGTACTAAGTGTTCCATAATCAAGGAGAACAGGTAGTTATTTAGTTATTGGCGCTGAACCATCATGGGAGGGCTTGGAACTTGTAATTTAATAACTGAAGCCAAGGAACAACATACTGCCTCCAAGAAAATAACCAAGTTGCACGTAAAAACCATACTTGACCAGTTAGAATTTGTGAAAAAAAAGATGATTATGGTAAAACGGTTACAGAAACAAAAAAGAAAGCAAAAATTCATGAATCAAAAAAAAAAAAAAAAAAAAAAGAGGAGATTAAAGTAATATATGCAAGGCTTACAGAAAATCTTAAACTACTGGTTAAACAGGACTGTGACAAAGGCGTCAGCAGCTGATTAAACACTTTACCAATTAAAGAACAAAATTTGAATAAGGAAGAGTTTAGAGACGCACTCAGATCAAGAGTTCAATTATTCAATTTATTCAATTATTCAATAATGGAAAATGCGGAGTTAACCGAAAAAGAGTTATTAGATGCTGTTCTTTCATTAAAATTAAACAAATCACAAGGAGTTGATAACATTAGCAGTAATGTCATAATTAAATGTATCTTCTATATTAAAAAAATCCTTTTGCATATATTTAATCTTTCGTTTAAACAAGGATTCTTTCCAAAAAAACTTAAAATTGCAAGGGTAATACCAGTTTTTAAATCTGGAAATAATACTAATATTTCTAATTATAGACCTATTTCCATTCTTCCTTGCTTCTCAAAAATACTAGAACGCATTATGTATAACAAATTATATTCATATTTAGAAAAAAATAATATTCTATATAACAAACAATTTGGCTTCAAAACAGGACACTCTACTGATCATGCAATTCTTCATCTTGTTCAGATTATTTTTCAAGTTTTTGATAAAAACAAGTTCACTTTAGGTGTTTTCATAGATCTAAGTAAGGCGTTCGACACAGTTGATCATAGTATTTTAATTAAAAAATTAGAGAACTACGGTATCAAAAATATTAACATAGCTTGGTTTAAAAGCTACTTATCTAATAGAAAACAGTATATTTCATTCGGCAATAAAAAAACTAACAATATGACAATTACTTGCGGCGTTCCTCGAGGATCTATATTAGGACCACTCTTATTTTTAATTTATATTAATGATTTAAGCAAAGCCTCTAATATTCTAGATTCTATCTTATTTGCTGATGAAACAAATTTATTTTATTCTCATAGTGATATAACAGCATTATTTAAAACGGTCAACATTGAACTCCTAAAACTAACCGAATGGTTAAATATGAACAAACTTTCAATTAATTTAACTAAAACTAAATATACTATTTTTCATCGCCTCCATAAAAAAGAAAAAATTCCTCTTGAACTTCCAAAACTTATTATTGGAGATTACATCGTAAAAAGAGAATGTTCGATGAAATTTTTAGGTGTAATTCTAGATGAAAACATAAATTGGAAAGACCACATAAACATGATTGAAAATAAAATTTCTAAAAATATTGGATTACTCTATAAAGCAAAACCATTCTTAGATCAATCCTGCTTGAAATACATATATTACTCATTTATACATTCTTATCTTAATTATGCAAACATTGCTTGGTGTAGCACCAATAAAACAAAGATAAAAAAGCTATTTAGCAAACAAAAACATGCAATTAGATTATTATCAAATGCACACCGCCTCTCACATTTAAGACCATTGTTTAACAATCTAAAAATACTAAATGTGTACCAAATAAATATATATCATCTTCTGATTTTTATGTATAAAATTAATAACAATTCAATACCAAATATCTTCAAACCATTATTTAATAAAATTCAACACAAATACGTAACTAAATATTCTAACAACAACTTTGTTCAACCCAAAACTATATACGACTCCACCAAGTTTTCAATAACTGTTAGAGGACCTAATGCATGGAATAAGATAATCAGTAATGATATTAAAACACTTAAAACTCTTGATCAGTTTAAACAAAAACTAAAACTATTACTTTTAAATAATGAACAAACAGATAATTATTTTTAAATCTATCTATAAAAATATTATATTTTAAAACTATCTACTAATGCATACTTTATTTGTCTGGAAGGTCTAAATTCTTTAATTTTATATAGGTATTACAGTCTGTTATATTATAAAAAAAGTACTTAAAAAGATTTTTAGCATTTTTAGATTTCATTAGTTTAAATAAATTTATTAGTTTTCTTAAATAAGAGAGAGAGAGGAAAAATAAAAAAAGTAATCTTTTTTAAGTTTTAATTTTTTATATTAATTTTTTGTAATTTATTTTTGAGGAATTAATATATTACACTTTATAAGAACAGATTGTAAATTAAATTTTACGTTTACTTTTTTCATGTTTTTTAGTTTTTTGATATTTTTGTTTTTCTAAATGAACTTTTAAATTTTTCTTTCAAAAAATAAAAACCGAAAAAATATCTTTCAAAACTTTGAACTATTAAACTATTTGGCATTTTATATAAACTTCTTTGTAATATTTTGCTTTTTTCTTAATTTTTTAATTTTCATTTTAGTTACCATGTATTTATATAAATGTCTAGACAAACAAGGAACTTGGTGATAAGACAACCCCGTCTTCTTCTCGTCCTTGCCATTTTTAAATATTTTAAATTACGGAACTTGTAAATATTTGTACGGCTAAATTATAAAAAAAAAAAAAAAAAAGATACTATGTGCCACTTGCTAGTTTACCATCCGACTGTGCTTGTGATGAAAAGTTTGTGCTTGTGATGAAAAGTTTGACAAGCTAAACGCAATGTCATGCAAAAAAAGGTGGCTTTTTGTGCAACAAATATGATAATATAAAAGACTTTTGAACTGTTCGCCTAACTAAAGTTTGTCCTGAAGTTCAAGTGGAGCCGCATTTGATTCGGTTGTCAAACGAAAAATATCATCTTAGAACTGTCATTATATGCAACGAAGGTAAACTGGATATGAAGGCAAAAGGGTTTTTGAGAATAAGAGAAACTACGTTTTTTTTTGTTAGAGTAATGCACCTAAATTACAAGTCTTCCAAAAAACAACACATTCCAACAAAACAGATATTTCGTAGACACAAAGAAGCAAAAAAACGTGAATATTTAGAATGAGTTCTAGAAGTTAAACACTCACCCCGTCGATTTTTGGTACAAATGGTTGACTTGAAAACGATTGTAAACGTTTTACAACACTAGTGGCTCATAAACTGTCTCTAATGAATGGTGAGAGGTACGAAGCAGTTATAAAATTGTTTAAGGACACGTCTCTCTGGAGATTACGCGAGCCTCTCTAATCAGCATAAGAGGTCTCAAACTTCATTAAGACACTATCACATTGATAATGTTGATTTAGAAAATGTGCAAGGTGGATTTATTGTGTTTTTAAAGTGTCATTATGTAATTTTTTTTAAATGAATAGATTTTTTTTTACTTTCAAAATTAAAACCCATAAAGACACGTGTTTATTAAGATCTGGACGTGAACCAAAAACACGTAAACTTACGGGTAATTTTCATCAGAGTTTAACACGTTTTTATGATATTTTAAAACTCAAATTAAAATGTCGTGTGATTTTATGACTATTTCATATTCGTTAAGGAAACTAGTTTTTTAACAGAAGAAAGCCATAAAAATTTTAATTTAGTGCTGCGTTATCATACGCATAGGCTGGGGAAAAGAAAAGTCTTAAATAAATAGAGTGACCACTGGGTCACCCTATTTATGTAAGACTTATTTATTTTTTTCACGAGTAAAATTTTATAAGGAATCATGCTCAACACCTAACTAAAAAAACTCAATCTTTGCAATTAGGGTTTCTTGATTGGTATGGTAGACATTGTTTTAAGTTAACAGTCCTCGAACCTTGCAACACTTTTACACTTCTTCATCTTCATATTTTTTCTGTTTTTTTTTTTTTTTTTTCTGATTAAAAAATAGCTGAGTTTCATTTAAAGCTTTACAAAAATCAATCGTTTTTTTTTATAGTGGCTTTCGCTTTTTAACCTCATTCACTTGGTTTCTTGTGCACATCAGATTTACTTAGAAACTACATTTCAAATCTCAAAGTGTTGACTTTTATGCGTGCGTTAAAAGTGTGAGGTTGTAAAATATTTTTCAAACTACTTTTCAACCTGTAGTGTTGTAACATTTGTAAAAAAAACCTAAAAAAAAATTGTTTTTTTTTTTTAAAAATAACTTTTTCAATATTGTTAAAAAGTAAAAAGAAAAAAAAGATAATTTTATAAATTTTTTTTTTACATAGTAAATGCTATGAGCAAATTAGCGCATGAAAATTTTGTCAAACTTCAAAACTTTTTTTCAATAAACAGTCTCTAGATCCTAAAAAACTATTAAAAAAAAATCTGACTGGAAATAATAAAAGTGACTTCAATTTTTACAACGATTTTTTTTTTATACGACCAACTATTTTCTTTATTAAAGCGATGTTCCAAAAGTTACGTTTTTGTCCGAAAAACGCAAGTTCCAATATCGCCAATGCGCATACGCGAATCCTAACAATACTACAGTGAACAATGTAATAGTTAATTAAGAAATATCTATGCATTGTTTTTTTGTACTTTCCGACGAAAGACTCTGAAGATAAACGCAGTTTTTCAACTTACCAGACTTACTGGTAATTTCGTCTGTAAGTTACTTTACTACGTAAAGTAACTTACCCTGTTGTAGACAAAGGTCTGCAACAAGTTAACCCGGTCTCCCTTAATAACCCGGTCTCCTTTAATAACCCGGTCTCCTTTAATAACCCGGTCTCCTTTAAAAATGAAGTATCATAACTTTGTCTTCCACCGGCAATATCTCTACCGGCAATACCTCTTTACTGTTATAAACAGCATTTATATATATTTTTTTTTTTTGGCTTAAACATAAAGAACGAGCGCATGTGTTCTAAACATTAAACAGTAGTCTTGTTTATGATATAAAAACATGAAAAAAAAAAGTTCCTTGTTCAACTGGCTTAATTTTGGCAGGTGTGCAAAAAGTAGTTTTTCAAACCAAATAGAGTATTAAACATCTTTTACCTTGCATTATGCTTAAATATGTGTGTTCTTTTTCTTTCCTCTAGTATAGACGCATTTGCTTTATTTTGTTCTGATTTATACGCACTGTATCTTTCCTGGATATCGATGGCTTTTTCTGGAGTAAAAACAGCAAATTCCTGCATGGGGTTGCTTAGCAAAGATGACTCTAACGAACGACTCCAATTGTAACAACTTAGATCTAAAAATAAAACTATTTAATAAAGTTAAAACTAAAAATCTATTTAATGATAACTTCACATTGCTTAGTTTTTATATGAAAAATAGTATAAACAAAAAAAAAAGAAGCAAAATCTAACAAAATATTAAACTTAAAGCTCCATTATATCAATATATATATTTTTTTCTCGATAAAAGATCGAAGGTCATTTATAAATAGTTTAAAACTAATCGTAAGTATACCTTGAAATAGTATTAATAATACAAATAATAATGATGATAATTAAAAATTATAAGGATAATAAGAAAATTATATAATTATAAACCAAAATTATTTTTAAAACAACAATTAAATATTATGCACAGACAGGAAAGTTAAAAACAGTTATATACTGACAACCTACCATATAACTAAAACATTTACAGCAAATAAAGTAACAATGATTTAATAAATATAATAATATCCTAACATCAATAATCATAATAAAAACAATAAAAGAAATATAAATATTTCATTAAAAAATAACAATAAATAAACAAACAAACAAAAATTTCAATAAGGGATCGTCGACAACTCAACGCAAAAATATTTTAAAAACAGAAGTATGAGATATAAAGCTCTTTCACGCGGTGGTTTTCAATTTTAATTATTTAAATTAAGAATCTGCGAGGGAAAACTTATGATCTTTTTTTGTTTTGTTTATTGAGAAATTTTGCGTAATTTATGGACGATCCCTAACTCTCACAAATAAAAACGTCTCACTCACACACAAACATTTAGTCAAGAAAAGTATTCATAATAAATAAAAATATTTAAATAAAAAAAGGAATTCATACTATCGTCCCTTAAAATTAAAAAAGTTTAAAAATTATTATTTTTCGTTTCTTCAAAAACGCAGCTATTTTTATATTTTATTTTAATTCTTTTTAATTACTTTCCATTTTCGAATGATTTTTTCTTTTAACTTAGGTTATTTGTCTTTCTTTTTTTTTTCTTTTCTCGTTTCATTTTTCGTTTTTTTTACTTTTTTTAAATTTGTTTGATTTGGTTTTTAATTTTTTATTTAAGTTTTTTGCTTTTTTATTTCTTTCCTTTTCTTTTCTTAACTCTCATTATTTTTATTTTATTTAATTTTCTTAATTTATTCTTTTTTCTTTTTTTCCTTTTTTTTTTTAATTTGTTTATATAAAATTCGTAACAAAAAAGCGTCCGCCATTCCGGAAGTCTCTGCACTGTCTGATATAGCTATTAATAATAATTATTAATAGCTATTATATTCACAATTATTGTGAATATAATAGATTATATAGTTTATGATATATTATGTATAATAATATATCATCAACTATTAATATTACTAAATACATTTTTCAACAAATCTAAACCATAAGTTTGGTTTTAAATAGAAAAAAAAGAATATTCTAAATTTTTTACGTTCATATGAATGACGAAAAGATTCTTAACAAAAAAAAATTACTGTGATATAAATAATAATATTTTACTGAATAATACAAATAGAATTTTTGTTGAGAAAAGAAGAGGTAAAAAAAAAAAAAGTGGAGGTAAAAGACTTATAACAAAAAATAATAAGACAAAACTAGTATTGATGGAAAAATAAAAATAAATATAAATATAAGCTATTCACTCTTTAAACTGTAAAAACACACATTAAACATTATCAATATAAAAAAGAAAGGGCACAAGTTACCATTTGGAAGATTAAATATGTCTTCTTTTCCATCCCATTTATCAAAAGTAATATAGCTTATTACGTAATGGTCGTAGTAGGACCCCAGCATCATATCGTACCCAATCATTTCATATCGGATAGGTCTATGAGGTTTTGATTTTGTTACCCATACTGTTTGATGATTTCTCATTCCAAATGCAAAGTATTCATATGTCCATTTAGTTGCTAAGGTACCCGTATATACTGTTGTTGAGTTATACTAAATTTAAACAAAACTTGTAAATAAAAAGCCTTTGTGTGTAAAAATAGACTTATGAATTACCTATGACAGTAAACCTATGAATTAAAACTTACAGTAAACCATGTCATATTAAAACTTACAGTAAACCATGTCATATTAAAACTTACAGTAAACCATAACATCAAGGCCGGCGCGAAGGGGGGTGTAGAGGAGTGTAACACCCCCCATCAAAGATTTTTAGTCGTCAAATTTGACCCTTTTCGACTAGTTAGTCGGCAAATATCGACCCTTTCGATATAGGGTTGTCGGTAGTTTAAACTGTTAGTCGGAAAATGTCGTCATGCAGTCGGCAAATTTTCGAAAACGAGGATCTTTTTTTTTTTTTAGTCGGCAAAAGTGGTAATGGTACCCCTACGTGACTCCTACTCGCGCCGGCCTTGCATAACATATTAAAACTTACAGTAAACTATATCATTTTTAATCAACAGTAAATCATGTCATATTAAAGCTAACAGTAAACATGTCATATTAAAGCTTACAGTAAACCATGTCATATTAGGTGTTATTATTTGAGGAATAATTGGCTGATTTGTAGTGCCGGTTAATAACCAACATCCGTCAAAGCTTCCGCGTCCATCTGTATACATAGGCACATACTTGTAGGCAATACCGTGATCACCCAAATCACCACGTTGAAAAGTTTTATCGGTACCTTAAAATATTAAACTTTTGATTTTCATTACTTAATAAGAAACCAACGTTCTAAGAAAAAATGATCCAGCGCCAATAACGTATAGATTACAGGAGCAAAAAAATACATAAATGAAACGCAAAAACTCAAAAAATAAATACTCAACATTAGATATTCTTACCGTAATAATAATCTATGCGACTTTTTTTTTTACTGGGCGCATACCAAATTTCAAAAGGTTCAGCAATATTACTATGAGGGAGAATAAGGACACCCGAAGCATGATAATTTTCTTCAAAAACCGGAATTGTATCTTCAACTTTTTTTTTTGTTATAGGAGGTAAAAATCCTCCGTCACGTACACGGTTTGTTTCTGCGATGGGAAAATTTTTAGCACCGTGAGTCTGAGACCTCGTGAGTGATACTTTATCTCCGGCAAATTGATTTTTAGCGACAGATAACTTATCTTCAATATTTTTAGTGGTTTTTAAAATTGTTTCTATAATATTATTAATCTTGAAATCATTTTTATGCTTGACGCGTGTATTTGAAACATCTTTTTTTTTCTTAACCACGTGCTTATCAAGCATATGTTTAGACGGTGTTTTATTCCTTTTATACCCGTTGTTTTCTTCATCATATTTTCCTGAATATTCGTCAAAGGTAAGATGAAAATTGTTTGGTTTTACAACATCAGAAGTCAACTTTGCAGAACTGATTTGCGAATTGTTTTTTATGTAGTTAGCGATAGAATTGTTTTTCATATCATTGGCAATGGATTCATTTTTCATGCCCTTACTAATAAAATTATCTCCATAAGAAACATTTAAGTTTTGATTGTTTTTATTGAACATATTCATTAGTTCAAAAAATGATGAATCGTTTTTATGGTCTTTTGCTACTTGAAGTGCGTCTCCCATTGTTTTTTTGTTGTGTAATTTTTTTACAATACTGTCAACAATACTCGAATTATCCTCTCCAGAAATTTCTTCATCATTTTCATACTCTGTTGCACTTCCTTCAAATAAACTTCCACTTGTAAAGTCACTATCTCCAGAATGTACAAAGTTGTATTTTAAATCAGTTGCGACACTATTTAAATCTGGTTGTTGTCTAATAGAAGTAATTTTTTGTTCACTTTGCGTTGCTACGTTACAAACAACTCCACAAAAAACGCAAGCCACTGATATTAAAGAAAGATACCTTTCAAAATTATTGGTAAACCATATTCTACTGCTTGCTGTACTTTTTTTTTTTGTAGCCATTTTCCAATTAATTATTTGGAAATTAAAATTAAATTATAAGTTAGATGCTGTTATAATCACGTGACAGACTATAAAAAATTGCATTTTTTATCTCAATATACTGACTTCCCTGTCAAGTAAATTTTCTTACAAAACAATCTAACCCAAACAGTCAAGTGTCAGAAACGTTCGAACTTTCCTATAGAGAAACAGTTTTAAACAATTTCAAACAAATTTAATTGATGCCTGCTTGTTTATGGTTTGATAACAGCTGGGTTATGCGTTTGGTGAGTTTTCCGAACCCAGTCTTCAAATTAATCATGCGCACTACTTTTATTTTATGAATTTTGTAAAATTTGTAATAATATTACAGCGTTGCGTTTTTTTGTTTTTTTTTCATTTAAAAAAAGGAAAAGCAAATAATATTAACATATATATAAAAAGCATATCTTAAAGCAAAAAATATAATCAACAAAATTTACTAGCTAAAATAAAAACAAAAAAAGTAATTGATCAGCTTACTTACAAGTAAATGGTTTTTACAATAAGCTACAAAATAAAAAATTTGACTAGTCTGTATAAATAAGAAAAACTAGTATCTTAACAAAATTTTCACGTCCGATCGAATATCTTTTTCAATCTTATATTACTGTGCGTCAAACATTACAGCTTATATGCCTTAATATTTTCTCTTTCGCACAATGCAGTTTTCTCTTTTTCTTTTTTCTGAAATACTCCAATATTTTGATTAATAATAGTAATATTTTTGAGCTGGGAACGATAATTCGCTGAGTGTCCCAAGTACACTAAGACAGCTACACCATCATTCACCATAGATATATTATTTATACTCCACATGCCAAGTTTAGCTTTAAAAGACTTTACAGAAATAGCAGTAACAACATCAGATGATAGTCGATTCCAATAAAATGATGCTCTGTTTGTTAAATACCGACACTAGTTACCGACAATTTTCAACACCAAAATCAATCTCATCTGTTCCAACGGTACACTGGCCCAATCCAACAGTACTCTTGGGAGAGATTTGCACAAGCTCTCATCAAGTGGAGTCATAACTGTGGAACGATTCTATAATAATATATTCATAATAATAATTACGTATTTGTAATAATAATTCTTACCCAGATAACATATACACGTTGGCCCGACGTCGATACAACGTAGGCTTTTACAGCGGCCGATGGTAGTTTAAATAAGTTAGGCCAACGTAGTTTTTGCTCATCAGAATGATGTAAGCCCGATGTAGTTGGACCGATATCAGTAAAACGACGTTGGGCCGATATCAGTAAAATGACATCGGGCCGATGAGTAAAATGACATCGGGGCAAGATCAGTAAAACAACGTTGGGCCGAGATCAGTAAAATGACGTTGGGCCAAGATCAGTAAAAGAACATTAACCCGCTTAAATTTTGATCAATAAATGAGATTACAAAAGCGACTATGATTCATAGCGATTATAAAATAGAATGGGAAATTATCGAAAAACACACAATAAAACGACGAAATAGGGGAGAGTCGGGTAATGGCGAACGCGGGGTAACTCCGAACAAGGTCGTTAAGGCATGTTAGAAAAGGATAGCTGACAATCTTTTTTTTCTGACAAGAGTGGGTTCCATGCTCAGTTCCAGACGTACAATAGTGTATTATAAATGCGCAGGTTCTTCACGGTTGATTGATTTTAAGTTTTTCTCTTAGTTTTATGTAATTTTTATTTGCGAAACATTTATGTATTGGCTATACTATGTATATAAAACCACACTTTTATTTATGTTGTTGCAAAGTATCATAATCATGGAGTTTGTAACACGTATTATATTTAGGGTATGATAATACTACCTCAATATATTCGTTTAATTTCATTTGGTTGTATCGCCGGGAAATAAAGAACGATCTTAGTGGGGTAATCGCGAACACTTATTGTCTTCAAAGTATTCTAGCGTATATGATAACACACGGATGATTCTTAAATAAAGTTATTATACATTATTTATTTAGTTTATTATTGTAAAATGTATATATATATATACATATACATACATATATATATATATATATATATGTATATATATATATATATATATATATATATATATATGTATATATAAATATATATATATGTATAAATATATATATATATGTATATATATAAATATATATATATATGTATATATATAAATATATATATATATATATATATATATATATATATATATATATATATATATGTATATGTATAAATATATATATATGTATATATATAAATATATATATATATATATGTATATATATATATATATATATATATATATATATATATATATATATATATATATATATATATATATATATATATATATATATATATATATAAGTATATATATATACACGGTATGTTCGGAATTACCCCACGTACGTAGGGTAATTCCGAACACCGAAGGTTTTGTTTTTAATCGAATTTTTAATTTTTAATAAGATATATGAAAATTGCTTTTAAGTGATTCTAACCAAATGGTTAGACTAAATAATAAGCAAAAAATATCATTAATATATAGTAATAATTGTCTTTAATTCGCATTCCCGCTTAGCTGTTCGTCATTACCCCACTCTCCCCTAATTATTTGTTTTTCTATTATTATCTTAGCTATTTTTGATATAATTTAAATAATTATTAAATAATAAAAATATAAAAAATAGTTAACAGCAAATATTTCACCAACGAAGCATGTCGGTATACAGTTCGCCAATTATACAGTAGATTTAATGTTATTAGTTATAACTAGGGTGTTTCTGCATCACAGGACATTTGTCATCTTTATGCATCTTCATTGTTTAATGAAGCATTGTTTTTAATCAGAATATATCTTACTTACTCTAAAAAGCGAATTAATATATTAGTCTGGAAATAAAACTTTAATGCAAAATCTTTCAAAAATTTATATTATCATACCCATGAAGTATTATCACAGTTTGAAATACGTTACAACTACTTTGTATGTTTGTAAAATCTACATATAAATCAATTTGTTACTATTTAAAATTTTTACATTTAATATAATAGTATTCTATTAAAAATCACCTTATTAAATTGTTCCGGAAAAAGTAGTGACTCCAGAAAAAAAGATAAAAAATATTGCATATATCCATCTGACCACATCAACCAAAATTTCATGCAAAACTCTCAGCAAAATAATCCTTAAAAAAGTACGGCAGCAATACACAATATTTATATAAAAATCAAGTCTAACTTTAGTTTCTTCTTTTCAAAAGATGTCAAGGTTTATATATGTTTCTAAAAAGAACCACGTCAAAAACCATTTGCCTAGGGCAACCTAAAAATGTGGTATACTTGGTATAACAATAATTAAACTAATTGCTTTTTTTTTTTTCATTGAAATTTGGCATGTGCATAGAAAATACATGAAATAAACTATTAATAAAAAAAGCTGACTCTACATTTTTTATCGACCACAAATTCATATGATAACATCAACCTAATATTCAGGAGCAAAATATCCCATAAAAAAGTTAGGAACCATACATAAAAAAGTTAGGAACCATACATAAAAAAGTTAGGAACCATACATAAAAAAGTTAAGAACCATACATAAAAAAGTTAGGAACCATACTTAAAAGTCTTTAAAAAATCAAGGTTACTTTTCTTCTTTCCAAAAAGTATCTATGTGTATATATGTGTATATATCTATGTGTATATATGTTTCTAGAAAGAAACTCCACAAAACTGCGTCTGCCTCACGTCTGTAAAATAAATTGTGTAAAAAAAAATTCAAGAAACTTACGATTTGTTTGTGTTGACTATTTTAACTAAAATAAATCTTTCGTCTACTTCTTCGCATGATACAAACTCTTTCGTTTCTCGTAAAACCACTTCTTCGCGTGATACAAACTGTTTCAATGATATTAAACCACTTCTTCTCGTGATGCAAACTGTTTCAACATATTAATACTTTTATCACTAACTTTCATAAAAAACAGTTTGTTTTCAAAAGTACACGATATTTAAGCAAATTAGCATAGCGTCGTTAAAAAAAAAAAATAGACCTCTAAAATTATAAATAACTGTTTTGTAAATCAAGTAAAAGATTTTTAACAAATGCAAGCAAAATTGAGCGTGGTTCACTTCCATATCTGATACTTACAATGCTTAAACATGATAAAAAAATGTAATAAAAACAACGCAAAAAAAAAAAATACAAAGTAAAAACGTAATTCACTTCCATTTTTTATACTTATAATGCTTAAACGTAAAAAAAAAGTAAAAAAAACGTAAAAAAAAAAACAACTACAAAAAAGTTATGTAAACGTAATAAAAACGTAATAATAAAAAAAGTAATAAATTAAGTATTTTGATCAAAAATTTGCCAAGAATTTTACTTTTACAGTTTTGACTAAAAATGCACACCATAAGTAGCATTTTTTTACCAACTATTTACTCTAGCCAAAAATTCTATGTTTAAATATTTTAATTGTGTACATTATTTATTAAGTATAGAAGTAAGTTTTTGTCGCTTTTCGGCCTAATGGCTAAGATCAAGTGTAGTATCTGTTCTTATTTCGGCTCCGGACCATCTCACAATTGGTTACGGTGTTGTTAGAAAACAGAAACAGCACAAGATCGAAACCGTGACAGTCGATAGAGGTTCTTGACACAGTCGCTTTTTCAGTGTCTCCTTCTACGTCCGGAAATTTCAGAGCGATCCGTCTACTCCGGACGTTAAATGGAGATAAACCCTTAAGTGGGCGCTGCTCAGTTTCGGCTGAGTGGCAACTAAACCCTTAAATGAGCCATACTTAAAACCCTTAAATGGGCCATACTTAAAACCCTTAAATGGGCCATAATGCGGAGTTTCGGCTCCCAAATAATACCGGCCTTCTAGTAAGACCCTGTGTAAGTCTGGTTTCAGCAGCAGGTGTCCCTAGTTGGTTGGCAAAAAAAAAAAAAGTAAGTTTTTGTCGCTTCTCGGCCTAATGGCTAAGATCAAGTGTAGTATCTGTTCTTGATTCTTAGCTATTAGGTGTCTAATCGAGTAAGAGTTCACTCTCAGTGAGGACTACGAGCCTCTTGAGTGTTTAGAGAGATTTTACCTTGCAATGGTTACCTACAACGGGTTGCCGGTACGGCAATTTTAGTTTGTAGAGGTTTTAGGTGGAATTTGAGTGTTTATAGTGAGTTTTATGAGTGATTAACCGAGCGACTGAGAGGTATATAATACACGTAGTGTATTTTAATATTCTATAAGGTTTTTTCAAAACCAGTATAATAATGGATACTATAAACAAAGCGGAAGTTGTAACACCGCTCAAAACCTATGCGCAAGCTGTAAATACTATAAATACTAATACTAATGTTATAAATGAATACTCCTCTTTAAAAAATACCCTTCTGAGTAAAATTAACAATAATGTTAAAGAGATTGACGTTTTGTCAGCTCTTGAAGATATTGGCCTTGACAAAGATCTAGACGGCCTCCAAATAATAAGAAATGGATCTATGATTGAAATCGCAATGAAAACCGAGAAATCCAAACTTCATTTAATCCAAAAAGGACTAAATATAAATAACAAAACCTTTTACTTTTATAACTCAACACCTTCTAGAAATGTATCTACACGCGTTGCAGTTTCCGTACTCGGGCTACCTCTAGAGAAAAAAAATCTCTTAGTTGGGAAAGCTCTTGAGGAACTTGGGTACGGCAAACATGTACGAACCAGACCAGTATATAAAAAGACACCAAAAACACAAACCTTATACTACTCAGGTATCCTGGTAGATATAATGGAAAATCTAATACAACCTATTCCAAAAACCCTAAAAATCGGAGGATACCATGTCCGAATCGTTCATACCGGACAACCTGAAACAAAAAATAAAGATATAAATGAAAGCCAACCAACAAACTTAACTGTCAAATCCTGTGAAAATAAAAATGAAATTAACACAAAACCACCCTCTAATGTAACTGAACCCGTACCATCAAACTCAGATAATGAAATGGACTTTGAAACTGAAAGTTGTAACCTACAAACCACAAATAACTAACATACAACACTAAATGAGACAACTGTAGAAGAAGAAGCTAAGATTATCCAAACTATACCAGTTCAAGAAACAATCACAAACATAATTGAACAACCGCATATTATTCCAATAAATCATACACCTCAACCCAATATAACCAATAACACGGAAACCAATACATTTATAAAAGAACCATATCTTGATGTTAGCGATGTCGAGCTTCCGAAAGAATTTGAAACAATGAGTTCACTCGATATAGCACACTTTAACTATATAATCTTCAAGACCTTTAAAAAACATGACTGTACTCAAGATGAATTAAAAAGATTTGTGAGATATAAAAGAGCTAAGTATGCAAAGGAGAAACAAGAAAGGAGGCAAAGTGAATATGAAGAACGTCAAGAGCTACCCGACGGGCATTTGCTTTTAAAAGTTACGTTCTAAATGTGTTTTAAATGTCTTTTAAACGTCTTTTAAACATTAATGTTTAAAAGACGTTTAAAAGACATTTAAAATACATTTAGATCGTAACTTTTAAAAACAAATGCCCGTTGGGTAGAGAGGAGAGAGCAGCAGCAAAATTAGAACTTAATAAACAAAACAACAACATCAACCATTGTAACGACTGGTACTAGAAACACTCGATTGTAATAATCAATATAAAAATAAAATAAAAAAAATAAAAAAAATAAAAAAAAAATAAAAAAAACAACATAACAAAATAAAAATAAAAACTACAAAAACACAATAAAAATTAGAAAATTACAAAAAACAAAATAAAAATTAAAAAACCATACTGAAAACAAAACAAATATAGTTGAATACACTCTTAAATCAATGCTTCTTAGCTTCGGCTAAGCAGCCATAACAAAACCCTTAACTGGATTTAAACGGGAGTTAAAAAGCTAACAATCTACTAGAGTCCTGTGTGAGTCTGTTATTAGCGGCAGGTGTCTCTGGTAGCTTGAAGAAAAAAAAAAAAAAAAAAAAAAAAAAAAAAGAAGTAAGTTTTTGTAACAAAAAAAAAATAAAAATAATAATAATAAAAAATTAAACTAAAACTTATTGAATAATATTATACTAATTAATTTAAACAACGGAACAATAAGTTATTGTTCCGTTATTGAATAGTTATTGAATTCCGTTATTGAACAGTTATTGAATAACTGTTCAGTAGTTTAAAAATTAACACGAGAAAACTAGCACACGTTGGGCCGACTCAATTATTGAGTAAGCTAAGCGCAGAATACCGCAATGACAATTTAAAACATTGCATTTATTTTCGTTATGCCGACGTAATTTTTTTTGCTGATATAAAACACGTTGGCCCGACGTCGGGCCAACGTGTTCATGTTATCTGGGTACAAACCTGTTATAAAAATCCATAATAATAAAATTTATAGATCTGTTATAAATTGAAGAAAATAAACCTATAAATATAAATATTACTATAAATCTTATAAATCAAGTTTATATTTCAAATTAAAAGCAACTTAAAATGTCATCCAAAGCAAAAATAAAATTTTTTAGATTAAGTTGTTATGGACAATTTTATGGCAAAATATTGTGAAGCACATCATAATAATTTTGGAAAGAAATTTTTGGAAAGAAATTTTAAAAACACTTTTTTTGGTATTTTGTTAAGTTTTATTATTATAACTTTATATCGCAACCATGATAACTTGTTTTCAAAATTTTCTAAAATTCTTTTTTCCTATTCTTTGCTAAGCATATTAATGTTCGTTGTCGTGGCAAGCTTTGTTAGAGGTTTAACATAATTTGCAACCCCGTTCCTAAAGGGAATGGGGGTGCAAATTATGCGACGCATTTCGTCGCTGCAAAGCAAAACTGTCTTAAGTCCATTTTTGGCATAATTGACTTTTTTTGCTTTAAAATACTCCTTAGGTGCAAAAAAGTCACCTCACAAAGTATGAAACTAAAATTGATTTAACTTCTGTAACTATGAGTAAAATTAAAATATAAAAAAAAAGTAATCAAGAGACATGCTGCAAAACAAAGCTATCCTGAGTCCATATTTGGGCAAAAAAACTTTTTTGGTTTAAAATACTTAATAAATACAATAAATACCTGAAAACAAGTAAATCTAATTGAAAAAATTAAGATACAATTTAAAAAAATAAAAGTGATGAATTAAAAACTTTAAATTCCTTTTTCTCGGAGCGGACTTGTTTTGCACCGACAATTTGTCAATATCTATTAAATTTGTCTACAAGTTTCTGAAAACTGTAAAATTATATATAAAAAAATTTGATTGAATATTTTCAGTATTTTCGTGTATATTACAATTTTTTGGGTGTATTTTACAATTTTTTTGTGATTATTGATTAACGAAAGGCAAAAAGTAAATAAAAATTTTTTATTTACTTTTTTTTTTTAATAATTTCGAGGTCATAAATTCCACCGCTATGTTTAAATAAGTGCTTTTAAGACTTGAGCCTTACTCGCCACAACCTTTCTAGGGCAATTTTTATTTTATAAATCAATAAATTAAAAAATAAAAGGGGAAGGGGTGGGGAACTGTTAAAAAAAATCGTTTCTTAATAATGTTAAAAAAAGGTTCTTAAAAATTAAAATTCACCCGACTGAATTGTGTCAAAAACCTAGCCGACTAAATTCGTCAAAAAATCTACTATAACTTGAAAATTACATACTTTGCGGGGGTAGAACACCCCCTTCCCCTATACACCCTTCACCTAAAATCGTATTTGTATGCAATCTTTACATTAAAAAAAAAATGTTTGTTTCTATTGAGCAGCCGTGGCGCAGTGGTAGCGTACTTGCCTCAGAAACAAATGATCTGTAGTTAAACCCCACCTCTGGGCAAGTTTTGCGACATTGATTAGGAAGGAGGTGTAAACTTTCAATTAAATGCTCATCCGCGGTGCTCTGTGATTAAACCGTAAGAACTATGTGATAAAA